AATCAACGACCGAATCATTGTTGTTGATTAAGTTGATGATTATGAATTGACAGTACAGTTTGTTGTTTGTTTGTTGTTGTTAGTGTTAAAATTATTTGTAGCTGTGTTGTGCATCGTTAAAACAATGATGATTAGCTACTTGTTTTTATAGATTATTCTTAATTATATACGGAAAGAATTAATTAAGACAAAAAACATTCTTTAGGTTTTGCTATAATTATTAATTATTTAAACGAGCCATAATGAAGTTTTGTTTTTTTTGGTCTTCGTCAGTATGATGCTTAGAATCAACCAATAAGCCAGTGGAAAGAATGGAATTTACATAACGACTTTTGTTCTGAGGAAGAACAAAAAATTTTCTCATTTTCTCTCTACTCAACCATCAATGTTTGATGGTCTTTTCACTGAATGGCTGGAACTTTTTCTTTTCTTTTTTTTTGTTCTGTTGATTGTCATCAACAATAACAAAAAAAACGAAACGAACAAAGAAAAAACCTATTTTAATTAAGCTAATAAATTATAATTAATTTGAATTCCTGAATGAATATAACAGTTTCAGTTTTCTTCTTCTTCTTCGGGTTGTTGAAAGTTTTTTTCATTTCATTTCATCTTGTTGTAAAAGTTTTTTTTATATTTTTACATTACATTTACTTTTTTTGATTATAGCAATTAATTTGTTTGTTATAACATAATAATTTAGTGTTTGTTTTCTTTGTTACAATAGGTTGTTTTTTTCTTTGATTCTGGCCAACAACAACAAAAAAAAAGTAACTCAAGATGTTCCAATTATGAACGAATGGCTTAATTAACATTGATGTCTAATTGTTAATCATGATAATAATGATGGTCGATGAAAGAAAACATCTTTTTTTTCTGACTGGTGACAACAATATATTTGGTTTTTTTTATTCATTGAAATGAAAAAAAAATTCAATGAACATTATCAACCCAAGAGAACGTTGGTAAACTTACCCAGCAAATGAAAACAAAAACTTTTTTTATAATCCTCTTAATTGTTGTTAGTTTTTTTTATAAAAAAAAGTTTTTCAAATGAATGAATAAATGAATATCATGCAATTTGAATAACCGAAAAACGATCAGAATAGATAAGTTTTCACCCAAGAGCGAGAGATCAATTTAATCAGTTTCATCATCATAATAATAGTAATGGAAAACAATTAAAGCCATCATGAATCTCTTTTTTTTCATTTCATTTCACTACTACAGTATTCTAATTGATTTCAATCTAGTTTTTTTTTCGTTCGATTTAAAGCCTAATTTCCATTTTCACTATGTTCATATTCATCCACTACGGCTTTTGTTTTCATAATAAAAACTTGATGATGATTCTGGCCACCCTATCCAACGGATTTTTTTTTTCAATATTCGGAATCTTCCATCTTGTATTCAGTATTTAAAAAACTAAAGACAACTTGAAATCAATGTGCGTGTGTGTGTGTGTGAGTGTATGGAATTACCAATTTAACATTCTATACTCACACAGAAGAATGCCCCTGTCTATGGTGATGATGATGATGATGGTGTATGGATGCGTAATTTAAAATATAAAAAAAAACTCATTTGTATTTTTGGAAAATGAATAAAAAAAAATTTTTAATATTAATATTATAAATGTTAAACACAATGTGAATTAACGAATGAGTTTTTTCATTTTCCCTCCAAAAATTTGTTTCCCCACTCTCTCTCTCTCTCTCTCTTTTATTCTTTTGTTTTTTTCTCGAAAACTATTTGGACCGAATCGAGTTTAAATATATCCCTCTGATTTGAATTTTTTTTCTGTCCCGCTCTCGCTTGTGTTTGAAAATCGGAATCTATCCATTTTTTTTGCATACCGTAGTGTTTTCATTTGTTTCATTTCAGCAACCAAAAAAAAACTCATGATGATGCTATGAATCCGCGTGCACACAGGCACAGACACACACACCACTGATACAGTTGGTAACAATAATTAATTAGATCAAATTAATTTTACTTTTTTTTTGTTGCATGTTTCATTTGCTATTACGTATTTGAAAATTGTTACTGTTGTTTTTTTGTTTTGTTTAAATCATATACACACATGCTGTGTTTTGTAACTGATATTATATATATGATTCAAGAGAATACGTGAATAAGTCTAGACAAAATAAGTAAGTATGGAATGGATATTCCAGATATTCTATTCGATTGTGATACCCCGTTTTTGTTTTGCTTTTGATTTCTGTTATCCAAAAGCTTAATTTACACATCAGTGAAAAGATTTATTAGCTCATTTTTTTGATCACAGTGTTTCATGTTTCGAAATAATCTTTCGAAATAATTTTTTGTTTCTTCTTAAGAATTCTATTCAGTCATTTTACTTAGAATGATCGACATATATACAAACACACACATTGTATAAATTTTTATTCAAAAAAAAGTTTCATTATCATAGATGATTTAAATGAACAACAACAACAAAAAACGATAATTAATTTAAATATTTTTTCGAAACTTATAACCTTACAGTGATTACTACTTTATCTCAAAAAAATTAATAAAATCGATTTGTGAAAAAAACGTCAAGGAAATAATTCATTTCTTATCACATTGATTGCACATATGGTACCCGTTTTTCTGTTTTGGTTTCATTCTTTAATCACTTATTCTGCTATGTGTCCAAAATCTTAATTATAATTATAATTTCTACTATGGCAATTAAAAAGAAAAAATATATAATGAATGAACAAATTCAATATTAATTATGGATTTTTTCCTAGCTCTCACTTACTTTCATTTCGTTATTCATTCAATACCCTAAGTTTGAGTTAACTATGTCTTTTTGTTTTAGATTTATTCAGCAAGAAAAAAATTTGGATGAAGATGATGATGATGATTATAATATTGCATAATATTTGTTGAGAAAATGATAATGACAATGTGAAAAGAGATTTAAAGATTTTTTTTTCACTTTCTGTCGGTATAGATTTTATTTTTTTAAAAATCTCATATGATGTGAATAATGTCTAATGATTCGTTAAGAAAATGAAACAATGTCTGTCTATATGTATAGAACGATGCTTTAAATCATCGACATCATTTTTTTTTTTGATAATGATGATGATCATCATCATGAAACTAAAAGGGGAAAAAATAATTTCCTAATATATTGCCAAGTTTTAAGTTTTTTTTTGGATCTAAAAACGATTATATGACTTATAACCATAATTAATTGCCGGATTCTTTTTTTCCTGTATAAAGACAATGTTTTTTTTCAGGAATTTTTCTTATTCGTAAAATTTATTAGCAATTTTTTCAACTATGAAGGGGAAAAAACTTTCTTTTTTTTAATCTTTTTATTTAAATCATCGATAATAATGTTATGTAACGTTGTTGTTGTTGTTTTGAAAAAAAGGTTTATAGATTTGCAACAACATCTAAAACGTCAATCATTTCATTATTTCCACTAGTTTAGCCATGGCTAATGTTTTTTACATAAACAACTTGAAAAATTCTTGTTACTGTTTTGTTATTCGTTATTATTATAATATTCTATGCAATATCAAGTTTTGCCATTCATTTTCATTATTTTTTTCTACATTATTTTTTTCGTTTATTTTCCTGGCTAATAATTGCACAATATTTTAATGAGAATGCAAAAAAAAACCTATAGCACTATTGTTGCCTTATGTTGTTTTCATTGTTGTTGATGAAGATGAGCCATTAATTTGCATTTTTTTCGGTTTTTTCAGGAGATGAAAAAAAAATTGAAATCAAGAACAAAACTTATTTGGTCTCTATGCCAAAGAACAACACAAGCCCTGTAGAAAACTTTTTTTATTTTTTCTGTTCAAGTTTCTTTTTTTGTTGTTGTTGTTGTTGATCATAATCATCATATTTGAAATAGAAACGGAGAAATGAAAAGAATCCAAAAGTAGTTAGTTCTGTTATTGTTATACTGAAACATGAGACAAATGGCTATGTGTGTGTGTGTTACATGATGCAAAGATGGTTAGAATTTTTTATTTTTGTTTTGTTTTGCTTGCTGCTTCTGATGATGTTTTGTGCCCACTTAAGTTATTTATTATGAAAAAAAGTAAAGATTCTATATTCAAAAATTAAAGTTTTTTACTTTTTTAGTCCTGGATGTTGTCTGTTTGTGTGTGTGGTTCAACATCCGTTAAAGAAATACGGTAAAAAATTAATTAGTCGATTTGAAACTTTTTTTCGTTTGGAGTTTATTGTTTTTGATTGTAATATTTTTCTTGATTTCCCAAAATTACAATTAATTGCAAAATGTTGCAGTTCTGATTATCATCTGAAAATGATTTGATGAAAACTCATTTTGTCGCTCAGTTTTTTCTTCTTTTTTCAAGTTTGGTATGGCGAATTTCATTTTATTCTTATAATCATTTGGATCATATCTTTACCCGAGAAAATAAAGTTCCTGTTTATAAAAAAATTGAATGGAGAATGTTCTTAGGTTTTTTTCCATGAATTTCCTACATTGCAATTGATCGTGTTACATGAGCTCATTAAAAATGTTATTTAAAAATTTTTTTCCATCATCATCATAATCTTTTTCTTTCTCTTTTTTTTTGGTTAAATTTTTAATAATATTTTCTACCGGTTTGGTACGTTCACATTACCGATTTGTTTGTGTTTGAATAGAATGGGTTGATTATGAAAGAATTCTCGACTACTGGTTTTGATGATGATTATGATGATGATGATGATGATGAAATGATAGTTATTATTTTCATAAATACTTGACGTTATAAAATGATAATGACATGACAGATACTTTGTGTGCGTCTGTCGATTTAAAAATTTAATAGCTTTTTTCCTTTAAAAAAAACAATGTTTTCTGGTAATTTGTTCGTGTGAGTGAAAAATTTCGCTTTAATCATTTCATTCTGATATGATAATGTCCTTTGCGATCAATATCATTGAGAATTTGCATTTTAAAAAAAGAAATTATTTTTATTTATGTAAAAAATTATTTCGTTAGTAAATTTTCTGTTTAAAAAATTGACTCAATAAAATTAACAATCTTATTGTTTTGTTTTCGAATCATCAAATAGTGATTGATGTTTCTTCATAATGAACAATTTCTTTGATTTCATTTTCAATATTATTGGCCATTGTTTGTATCATTGGTAAATTAGATTTGAATTCATCATTTTCTTGTGACAAATCGATTAGTTTTATCAAAAATTTTAACATTTGTAATCCACGTTCAATAAAACGATAATGAAGCTCTAAAAAATTTTTACGATTATGGCAGGATTCATTTTTCATTACATTTATCACAGTATTTTTATGTTCAATCTCATTCAACATGATTGACATTAAGGATAAAATTCGACAATCATTCATTTTATATGAATAAAGATTATTGTTATTATCAAAATTCATTAGAATATTGCACCAAGCATTTTCAAATTCCGTTTCTGAATATTCAAACCATTGATCAATGGTTGTTGCATCGGATGTTGTTGTTGTTGAATCATCTGAATAATTCGTTTCTTCTTGTTCATTTTCAACCGTATTGATTAGCTCATCGATTATTGATGCACAAATCATCGAATCGATTGTCATTTTTTGTTCTGCCAACTTTTTACCGTTAAATCGTTCGATTAAAGATGATTCTGAAACTGTTGTTGATTGTTGAATAGCCAGACTAATTTTTCGAATTAAATTTAGCTCAAGAAAAATCCTTAAAACATTATGAAATTTACCTATTTTCATTAGTTGTATTATGATCGATCAAATTGGCAACAATATTCTTATATTGTTCGAGTTCAATATTCTTTGATTCAATATTATCATTTAGCAATTTATTTTCCATTCGAAGATGAATATTTTCCTTTTCAAAATCATTCAAACAATTCGATTGATCATCAAGTAAAGTGATTAGATTCAAATATTGAGGCAATTTTCGTTGTGTAAAGTGTTTCATTTCTAGCTCGTAAGATGACAGTGCATGTCCTATGTCGATTGTTTTTGTTGCCGTTTCCAACATAAATCGATTCATTTCCATTGATTTAATTTCAGCATTTTGTTTGGTTTCGATTATCAATTCAATCAATTGTTCATTTTGATCAAATAGATTATTGATAATTTTATTCATAAATGAAATTTTTTCCTAAATAAAAATTGCGAAAATTAAACAATTCGAGAAAAGTACCAATATAAATTACTTACATCTTTGGTCGAATTTTGATCGTTAATTTTATTATGGCAAAATTTTTTATATTCTTGAAATAATTTCAAGATTGATTCATCATTACCATTATCATTCATTGTCATTATAATTTGATTCAATTTGAGCAATATTCATATAAGGCAGCTTATTATCGTTTGATTGATTTGATATGATGAAAGAACATAAGCAATGATAATGAACACCAATTTATAAGATTAACAATAATCGATACATCTTGTTTTTGTTTGTTTGGTTGCTTAGCAATCAAGATTTGTCATAAAAGATGATGATAATAATTTAACTTAAATAGAAAACTTTTCCTCATTTATACCAATGCACCATTGTGATATGAATAGATGCATGGTTTGGTGTTGTTGTTGTTGTTGTTGTTGTTGCTGTTTACCATTTTTTTTGGATAAAAACCAACAATCGATAGTGATGGTCTTGGTAGAGAACAAAAAATTGCTATCGATATCCAATTCTTTATATTCTTGATATTTTTTCTCTTTCCTGGAATATTTTTCTTAGATCCGGCCTAGAATTTTCTTTTTAATGTTTTGTTTTTGCTATCTAATTCAATCAGCAGAATTTCATTTCTTATTTAATTTAAATTTTTTAAAAAATTTAAAGAAAAAAAAATTCACAGAAAAAATTCTTTTAATCAAATTGTCAAAATTACCAAAAGAAAAACACGCAAACACACATATATGTCACATCTTTTTAGTTAATATAATTAGAACGATTTCAATAAAAAAAAAAGATTTTTATTCTTCAGAATTATTTAATTCAATTAGATGATTGCTTGAATTTTTTTTAAAAAATTTGAATAATAAGAAATTAAATTTCTTTTTTTTACTTCTAAATTCAATTAACAACAATTGATTGATTTGAATGTAAAATTTCCATATGAATCGAAATCAATATGTCAGTTTTTCTCTAATAATTTTTTTTTCTGCTGTTATTGCTAACAAACGAATATAATTTATTCGTTTTTTTTCATTTTTGAAAACAAAAACGACATTCAGTAAAAAAAAATAATTTAAATATTAAAACATTATGTCATTATTAGAGGAATCATCATCAACAACAACAAAATCGGCTAATAGTAATAATCAAGATGATAAAAGTGAAAAATCAGAATCCATTTCGATTGTAAAACCAAAGGATACGATTGATGAAAATGATCTAATCGAATTGGAATCCCAATCAACTGCAAACATTTGCGCGGATGAAACCAATCTTGAACAACAAGGTTATCGATTTTATCGACAAAAACCTGTATCGCTTAGTCCGTTTTGTTTATATCGTGCAGAAATTCCATCATCATTAAATCAACAAAATCAATCGATTGTATGTAAAATTATTTCATTGGATACTGATTTTATACGTACAAGAGAAAAGGAAAATTTTCTGGCCAATTCAATTCGTATCATACGATTTGTTTGCGGTTATAATCGTTCAGAAGCTCGTCATAAAATGTTCATTCATGTTTATGAAATATTTAAGATTGATACAAAGATTTATATTTTTATGGAAGAACGTACAGCAAGCCATACAATACTTCATATGATTAAACATCATACAAAATTTACACAAAGTGAAGGTCGAAAATGGATCCAATTGATCTGTGATGCCATAAGATTTTTACATCTTCATGGTATTGCACATCGTTCTATCAAATTGGAAATGATTTTGATCCCAACCACTAATAGTCAAGAACCAAAATTATTCGGTTTAAATCGCTCGGTTTTCTATATTGATCGAATAAATTCGAATCAGATTATCCAACAAAAACGTGAAATACGATCGTTCAATAATTATCATCTACCTCCAGAATCATTCCGCGATACATATTATAATCCAGCATTAGCCGATATATGGTCGATTGGGGTTTTACTTGTAGCCATTCATACAAAACGTTATGTATTTAATGTCAAATCCAAGATTGATTTTAATCAGCAATGGAAAAAATTTGTGAAAAAACATAAAATCAATCCAATCATAGCAAATCTATTGGATGGTATTTTCCTCAACAATCCTTGCGAACGATCAACATTAAAATCTATTATGGAACATGAATATTTTCATGTTCCGGAAGATCGTATTGAAGCTGTAGTGGATCAAAACGTCAGCAATGAAAAACGTTCATTAAATAGTGTTAATGATAATACTAATAATCCCAAAAGTATGGAAATGAAACAATCGATTGAATTTTCCAAATCAAAATTGCATCAACAACGATCAGCTAATGAAAGTAATACAGATACAAGTCTTAAAAGTCAAATCATTAATTTGGATAAAGATGATGCGAAAAGATGATGATGATTATTCTTAGAAAAGTTTCTTTTTGATAATTTTTTATTTGAAAATAAAAATAAGAAACTTTTACGAAACCATTCAAAACGATAGTTTTACTTATTTTGACATGTTTGATAATTTAAAATTAAGTTTTTTTTTCATAAACATCAAGAAGAAAAAATGAATTCTTTATTTTGTTGATGATTTTCCTGTAGCAAAAAAGATGAAGACCACCAGACACATTGTATTACTAGAAATGTGTGGAGAGTTTATATTGAATTCTCTGGTTCATAGATACAAACATCACCGAGACACAAACACACACACCAAAGAGATAAATCAAGCTTAACGTAAAAAAGAAAATATTTTCCTAGCCACAAGCGGTTCATCATCATCATCATTTTCACATACACTCACACAAATATTGACTTTATTTATTTTCGGTTATTTTATATTCGGTGCATCATCTTTTTTTTAGTTTCGTTTCCGACTTTATTTTCTTCATGTTTTTTCACTTGATATACACTTTAGGCTCTTGGTTATCGTTGCCGTTTCATTTTTTTCTATATTTATTTTTTTATTTTGTTGAACGTTCACACACAAACAACGCAACCAGAAGCAATGCGTCAAAAATTTTGGAATTGAATTTCTGGATACACACAACATACCATTGAAAGAGTGAGAGACAAACATTGCAAAATAGCATCATCATTGAACATTGCATTTATGTGTTCATCATCAGTATGGCATATCCTTCAATGGTTCAGAATTAGCCTGGAAGCAAATTCGGGCAAACATTTTTTTTCTCCTCCTTTTTCGTTGATGTTGACGATGATGATGATGATGATTTAGAGAAAACATGACTCGAAAATCTAAATCGAAAAATACATTCCATACAATAGTTTTATTTTCCATTCCATTCCATTCGTTCATTTATCATCATGTTTCCTTTTTGGTGTTTGTCCTATGCTTTTTTTTTACTGCAATAATCTTTATTTTGTTTGCCAATTATCACCTGAAGGTAAAAGCCCTTAAGCTAATCAATCCAGTTTTTTTCCACTTTTTCTCCCCTTGTTCATTTTGAACATCAACCATTGTCGATGATGTTGATGATTTTTTTGTTTGTTGATTCTCATCATCATTATCATCATGACTATGAGGTTCATACAATCAACCAAATTTAAGCTTTTTCTATCAATTTTATCAAGTACAAAAAAAAATTGATTCGAGCACGACATTCAAAACCAAAACCCAGTATTATTCATGATGATGATCTTTATCTTTATCGATTATCTTTTGTTGTTTTCCATTGTTTTTACTCATTTTTTACCCAGTTGATTAAGTTTTCTCATTTAAATGTTTTTTTCATCCACATTGATTGATCCGATCTGTGAATGTCTACAGGTGTGATTGAATTGAATGTCGAAATTAATCAACTTGAAATTTTCTTATTTTTTTGATGAAGATTTATATCTGCAAGCACGTATAACTCATTTTTCATTTGTTTCATTTGATTTTCACATCATGATTATTATCAGTCTATCAATTGATCGATCGATTAATCGATCGCTACCAATTAAATGTATGAAGAAAAAAACTTTTGAAAACTACCTTTAGGCTTTTTTTCTGTTTTTGTATTTTTATATGTTTTTTTGGTGAACCTAAAATGTCATATGATGATTGTTGTTGAGATGCTGAAAAAAAAGAGTAAGAGAAGATTTTTATTACGTAAAACAATATTATTCAAGTTATTCCATACTATACATCCTCTTCACTTGATTTTTTTATTTCGATTCTTTATTTTATTTTAGTTGGAATGTACGATTCTTTTGCTTGCCATTTTTATCATCATCATCATCGTGACCAAATTATTTACTCTTTTGTTTCAGGCTGAGAAAGACAATCATTAATGTTTGAATTTTATATTTCAAAAATTAATGGTCATTATTATAGTTTTCAAAATATTGAATTTATAAACTAATAAAATCTATTTATCGATATATATTTTCATTCATCTGTCACAATATTCAATTCTTTGAATGAATATTTCAATGATGTTTATCCGTGTATGGGTCTGTGTAACAAACATGAATCGCTTCTGGGTGTGATAAATTTTCTTCTCTCTTTACTTTTTGATGCATACTTTGTTTATGTTCCATATAAACAATATTAGCTAGAGAATATCACGTTTATTCATTCATTATCTTTCTATATTTACCGTTAATATTTTCACTTGAAAGACTGCTTCAAGCCTTTCATTTTTTTTCATTATATGAATATTTATTATCCTGAAGATTCTTTCAAATAATAATTATTTTATTCGATTTTCATTTTTCATTATATTTATGGTATCAAGTTGAAGATACACAATCTATCCGAATAACTTATATAAATTGTTAAATTGGCTATTATGATTGTAAGTCAACTAATATTTTCGTAAAGATTGTTATACGGTTATCAAAGAAAAAATTAATTTAACTTATTTAATTACCAAATGATTTTGATTGTGAATGACCATTTTTTTCCAGTAGAAAAAAACTAAAACAATGATAATGAAATTTAAATTTAATGACTTTGTTCATTTTTTTCTTAAAAAAAATGTCACTGAACTTTATGAAATCATTAAATCTTTTTTTTTGTTTGTTTGTCTATGTCCCCAAAAATGTTGTTGGGCAAGTTTTCAATTTGAATTTCCATTTCTTTCCGTAATTCTTGATACAATCAAAATTTGTTATTCAAGTTGTCCAGTGATCTGATCATCATCGACATTCAAAATCATCATAAATGATAAGGATTTTTTTTGTTTGATTGATTGCTATTTACATATCTAATAAATCTTTTATTGAAATAATGATTTTAGATGATTTATTATGATAATTTGTTTGGTCATCATCATTTTTCATATATATTCATCAATCTTGATGATAATGGTACAAGTGTTCTTGTCTGAATCAAAAAATAAAATTTCCAGCCATTAAAACGATTTAGGTGCCCATATATGTGTGTGTGTACATTCCTATGTTTGGATTGTTTTGTTGTTTTTCTTGAATTTTCTATTCATCTCTATCATTCGCCACCTTCGAGGTCATAATGATGAATGTTGTTGTCGATATGTTTCTTTGTATACAATCTTTTTTTTGAAGGGTGAAAAAAAGATGCATGAACAGTATTCTAGCTATAGAAAGCCAAACCCGAATTATCTAACAAATTTTTTGTTTTGTTTTTGATTATCATCAACATGAAATATTGCTTCAGGTTATTATTATCATCATAGAATTAAACCATACGGCACACACATCATTCATTCAAACTGATCAAATAAACAATGAATTGCCTCAAGATATACTAAATTTATAGATAGTGAACGAAAGTAATTAAAACAAATGTGGCTATCATTCATTTTGTTGTTGATTATAAGATTTTTATAAGTTATCATCAACATTATCAAATGTTACTTTTTTATTTCAACATTCCAAATATAATTGTTTCATCAAATTAAAATTATAATCATATGGTTATTTTGTATTTTAAAATATTTTAATAACAACAGAATACTATTGTTTGTATTGAACTATTAATGATATTGATATTATCATCTCATATTTTCTACACATTACCTTTTTATTATTATAAATGTTAAGAAGCTTATCATCTGTACAAATATTAAATTTGCATGTGTGTTTGTGTATTTGACATTGTACCCTAGCATATTATCAATATGATGATGCTTGATAAAGTGTGTGGGGGTAAGGAATTTATATTTTTGTTTTGTCTACTTCTTCATTAAAGATATTTACTCCTTTTTTTTACTAAAATGTATAAGAGATGATGATGATGATAAATATTTTTATATGAAAAAAAAATTAAAGAAGAAAAACAAAATATTAGATGACACAACAGCCCTAAGGATGTGTGTTTATATCCATATGAAAACATTATTTTTTTTTTTACTTTGCCATTTATTTTCATTGATCTTTGGTGTATGATGATGATGATGATGACGTGATGTAAGATGATTGTAAGGAAGGAAAGAAAAGATGAAAAAAATAAAACGCCAAACAAAACAAAAAAAAACCGAATACGACTATTGGCCTAAAATAGCCTGAGGATTCTTTTTTTGTTCGCAGATGCAAAACTAAGAGAAGTGATGCTGCTGTGTTTCTGTATGTTGAATGAATGAACGAATGAATTTTGTTGGAAAAATGAAAAAAAGAATACTGCTTGAAGGCATGATTTTTTTCCCGTTGCTGGTATATGATGATGATGATGATTTTAGTTTTTCGTATCGATACACGTTGTTATTTTTTGATTGAATAATGTTTTAGGGTATATATAAAATGAATTTTATTTTAAATGATTCTCATTGTTTAGCCTTTTAACAACTATGATGGCCAATCATTTTTATTTGTTTGTTTTTTTTATTCAAGCGAAAATAAACGAACAAATTATGACGACAATTTCACCAGTTTTTTTTCTGCATAATTATTGAAAATTTCCATAAAAAAGAAAATCATTGGATCAATTCGTGAAAAAAATTCCCATGTTTTTATTTTTTTTCTGGTTAAAATGTTGTTTGTTTGAGTCAATTGACAAAAATTTGGTCAATATCACAACCATCATCATCATCAACAGACGTTCAAAATCAGAAATTGTTGATTTTTTGATATTTTACCTTTTATGAAATGTTTTTTTTTGTTGTTGTTGCTTTTGTTACGCAACATTATTTGAAATACCTTGAGGATATCGATATATATTTTATGATGCGATATACATAGCTCATTTCATTTATTCAAGTTGTTTAATTCTATTGTTTTGTTTGTTTATTTGATAAGTATTGAAATGGTTGAAAACAAAAAACAAAAAATCTCAAAAACACTGAGAATTTACCCTTGGTTTTTTTCTCCACATTTTTTCGTTGAATTTATGATTCACAATTTTTATTTTTTACATTGACATTAATTGCCTATGGGCATTAATCGGAAATAATAATAATAATACAAAAAAAAATTTGTTTGGTTCAAAACAATTTCATAATTTATAATGAATTTTTTCCATCTCGTTTCTCAAATATAGCTACAAGGCTATTTTTTCCCATCTATAAAGTTTGTTTTCAGGGCTGATGAGGTTATGTTTCGATTGTTCTTCATTATATTATTCTATTTTATTGATCAGCTTATGAAATGGTTTTTTTTTGGGAAAATTTTAGAGAAAAAGAAAATTCTTTATTATTGTCCAGAATCGCTGGAACATTTGAAATAATCTTTTCTGGCCACAATTGTATTCAACATTGATCGATGCTAAAAAAGAGAGAAAGAATGATGTGTTGCTATTCGAATGCAACAATATGATGATGAAAAACATCTTCCACATATCATTTTCAAAAATTGATGGGTAGTAGAAGCATTCTAGAATAGTTACTGTTGGATAAGGGAAACAAAAATCTACCAACCAACCTAAAAATGTGTATATTTTTGCCCTGACGCCAAATGGATGTTTGAATTATATTTCTCTCTCGGGTTATATCTTACAGAACATTGATTAATGCTTCTACTTTTTATATCATAGGATCCACAGATTTACTATTTTTCTCAATCTACGACGAATCGGAAATTCTCTTCTCTTTCAATTTGTTTTTTTCATTTCATATAAAAACATAATGTTTATCATATCTATATTCGACACTTTAAATTTCGCGCCAATAGCAACAACAACAACATCCGCAGTAAAAATCATTCGCAAAGTTTAGCTCTTCTTTACAATGATTTTTACTTTTATTTATATTGATCAAATTCAATAAACTTGTGTAATAATAATTTGATCATTCAATAAATCGATTGTTCTTGTTTTTCTAACTAATTCTATTTCAATATTTATCATTTGCATCCTCATCATCATCATCCACATCAAAATCAATCAAATTTTATTGGATATCTACTTGAAATACTTAATCAATATTATCGTCATCATCTATTATATTCAAATTATATGCTTACTATTAGTGATTAATTTAAATAATTATCCATCATCATCATCATCATCATTCAGTGATCTAAATCCTTGACATTTCGTGAGACAGATGATGATGTATCCTTATCACTATTGCTCATCATCGTCATCATCATCCGGATCAATTTGATTTGATCAAAGAATTCATATTATAAATAAATAATAGATGCAAACTGTTGCTTCATCATTGTTCGTATGTTTTAAGATTTTCAAAATACATTGATTTTTTTTTCTCTTTCGATCATCACGAACCATCATCGTCTTTAACATTTGATGGTTGTCAGAATTTGTTTCACCTCATCATCATTTGAAATTGAAAACTTGAAGCCAGTTTTTTCTATTCGTATGTTCGACAATAACAACAACAATTGTTTTCTTATAAACCACGAAATTTATAAAGAAAAATTCCTTCATTCATTCATCAACAATCACGGTAGGTTTTTTCATTTCATTATTTTTTTCGTTTCTTGAAATGGCATTAAATAATAATTGTTCTGTATTTCGATTGTGTTTTTTTTCAATCTTTTTGTCTGATTCGTCCTGATGAATACAATCCAACAACAACAACAACCACAATCTATCCTGAATGAACAATACAAAAAAATGTTTGTTAATAATATGACCAGTTTGATGATGTTGATGGTTTATTTTGTGATTCAACATACTTTTAAATTCGAAGAGTAGACAAAAAAAAACAGTTTTGTTCGGTTTTTGGTTGAGTTTATACATCTTGACCAAAATATTTTTCGAGTTATAAATAGGGATTCATCTTTTTTTTTCTTCTTTATCACCTATTTTGTGTTCAATTGTTTATTTGAGTGTGTAAATTCTCAGAAATCATAATCCGGCGAAAAACAATGATTCTTTTTTATCATTTTGCCTGATCAAATGATAATGCCTTAAAGCATTTAGTTTAATTAGAAAAGATCAATGTCCAAAAACAAAACAAAATATTGATTATGATGATTGTTCTATTGCGAATAATTTCAAGTTTCCGCTATAATTTAATTTGTTTTGATTACAAATGTTTGAAAGATATAAGCGTGGTTATTATTTGATTGCCATTCATTAGACAATGTCCATGATGATGATGATGATGATGATGGTCGACTTTGATTGTTAATAACTACACATATAAAGATTGATAAAAATCGATTGAAAATCAAACAGAAATTATAATCGATCAATAGATTCATACATAGGGCATCGATCGTTCGATTGATTGTTGGTAAAAAAAAATTTCCATGTAATTTGGACCACCATCATTGAACAACAACAAAAAACTTTATAATCATTGTGATTCCGGTTTTAAATATGCAATTAACACAATTCCATATGATGATCGATTTCGAATGATTTCGTGCCATTTAAACTAAAATTTGTTGCATAGGCAAATTTAAACATGATCAAATCCTTTCTGTCCCACAAAATACTGTCAATTCTTATTTCAGATTTTATCAACTTAGATATCAATTTATCACGCATTTAAGACATTATCAGCTGCTTTAGATTTTTGATTAAATTTTTGATGGAAGTTTTTAAATTTTTAAACAAAATACTCAATCAAGAACAACAACAACAACAAAAATGCTAACACCCAGTGTGGGAAAAAAATTTTTCCAGATAGACAAATCATTCATTTTGTACATTCTGACAATCTGAATAATTTTTTTTCTTCTATTTCTTTAGCCCATTGGCATCATCATTCATTGAAGATTTTTCTATTCAGATAAATAGAATGAAATGCACCTTTGAAATCATTATATTTTTTTTTGTCTATGATGCTTCTAGGCATGATGAATGTGATTTTTGTTATTTTTTTTCCTATTCCATTCCAGTCTAGTTCATTTCGATCGGATGAATTGTATTTTTTTTGCGAGTTTGAAAATTTTCAAGAAACTAAATTTAAAAACTTTTTTCCAACCTTCAATGATAATCAATCCAAAGGATCATCATCATCATCATCAAAAGTTTTATCATCATTCATTCGATGAATGAAACAAAAGAATTGTGTGAATCAATTTTCCAATTCATTGAAATATATTGATTAATTATATTCGAATTATTTGATATTGGGAAAAAAATATTTAAAGCTCACAATATGTGGTCAAAAAAAAAATATCTGATGATTCGATTCATGCTAATGTTTTTCCTCTTCTGTATGGCACACCTAATCTATGATCTCTTGTTGCTGTTATATTTTTTTCATGTCAGAAAATTATTCGTTTGATAATTTTTTTTTGTTGTTTTGAATGATGTTTATTTTTTTCTATTTTATTTTTTTTTGTGAATGGCAGAAATTTTTCTTTTGCTATTAACAGGATCAAACCAAAAAGAAGATCAATCAACAATGAGTGTATTGTCTAGTGGAATGGTTGTCGGATCCGGATTAGAGCCAACACATTCTTATCTAAGTAATAGTTCAAATTCATCACCGGCTCGTACATCACCAACAAATTCATTATATTCGAATATAGTCAATATGAATCATAAGATTTCGGGCATACCATGCGTTGCTGCTGCATCACGATATACAGCTCCGGTTCATATTGACGTGGGCGGCTCAATCTATACATCTTCACTGGAAACATTGACTAAGTAAGTATCTTTTTTCTGTTCAACTTTTTCCATTTTAAATAATGTTTTAAGATTTATTTAGAAGAAAAACATGTTTGTTCAATGTTGTATTATTTACCGACAATGATGTTATCTTATTATTTTTGTTTTTTTTCTTCAATTATTTCAGACATCCGGAAAGTAGATTAGCCCGTATGTTCAATGGATCAATACCGATTGTGTTGGATAGTCTTAAACAACATTATTTCATTGATCGTGATGGTAAAATGTTTCGTCATATATTGAATTTTCTTCGTACAAATTCATTGGTTATACCAGAGAATTTCGATGAACTAGATCTTTTTTATGAAGAAGTAAAATTCTACGATATTCAACCATTACTCAGGTATGTGAATACAAGACTACGACAATGTTGTCAATTTTTTTTTTTGATTGACAGATTACTTGATCAAGTTCGAAATAAACGAGCTCAAGATTCACATAGCCGTTGTTGTTCACCCAATGAAAATGGAATGAATGTTTCGAAAAATTGTGCTCAAAATCTTTCAACTAAACGTATTCGTCTGGATGATTATGGCGAAATGATTGATCAGAATAGAATCAATAGCAATAAAAAGAATATTAAAACAAATTTTAAACTTTCTAGCTCTTGTATCAATAGCAATACTTCTGACAATGCAGATTCACCAAAAGATTGTAGCCAAGAAAATAATGAATATAATTATCAATGTTTAGCAGTGAATATATCACCCGAACTTGGTGAACGTGTATGCATAAGCGGTGAACGAGCTTTGATTGAAGATGTCTTTCCAGAAATTAGCCAAAACATTATGGATTCAAATAAAGCGGCCGTTTGGAATCAAGATTCAAAACATGTGATCCGTTTTCCTTTAAATGGTTATTGTAAATTGAATTCATTGCAAACAATTGTTCGTCTTCTTAATTATGGATTCAAAGTGATGGCTTCGAATGGTGGTGGTGTTGAAGGTCAACAATTTTCTGAATATCTCATGGTACGCAAATGTTCATCATCATCATCATCATCATCTTCATCATCATCTTGAATCATCATCAATATATGAATTAGCCCATCATAGAATGAAAATCAATACGCATAATTACATTTTTTTAAATATACATTCAGTCAATCATATATGATTTCAATAGCATTATCAAAATCATCTACTTAATATCATCAATAATAATTGCAGTTTGGTTTATGTTTTCTTAGAATTTAAATAATTTATTGTCATGATACTTTTTTCTTTTCTTTTCTTTTCTTTGATGTGTATTAATTCTTTAATTATATAAATCTTTTAAATAAATAAATAAAATTGTCAATGTTTTAATCAATCTTCAAAAATTCAAGACAAAACAGCGTCAAGCAACCAAAAAAAAAGAAAGAAAAGAATTCTGTCCTTCAACTTGATAATTTTAACTCCAAATATCTACATCTTGAATGGTCTTGAATAATTGCCCCCGAAAGCAATTGAACTATATTTGTGCAGTGTATACGTTAACAAACAAAAAAAGAGAAATGAATTCAGAATTCTTAAGATCCTATTAAATTAGCTCAGTTTTGCAAATTTCAATAAAAAAATGAAAGAGATCATGCTGGTGATGTGTAGAGAATCGTGTGTTCAATCGAGTCAAAAAAAAAATTATGAATATAGAAACACACACATCCAATGTCCGTAAGGCAAACATATAGAATACAAATATGCATCAACCAATCAATCTACCAATATCAACGACAATCATTTGGTGCATTTACCATTTTTTTTATATGAAAATTCCTTGTGGCCATCTTTTTTTCTGATGGCTGCCTCTATTTATATTTTTCTATTGATTGCTGTTTGATAATACTCTTCATCCCTTTTTCTTTCTCTCTCTCGTTATTTGCTTGATTTTTATGTAAACATAGCCTGTGGACATATATTATGTATGTGAGATGCCTTCAATTCGAAGCCTACACTATTCAAGACTTCTAATCATTATGAAATTCAATGATTCTTGTTGTTGTTGTCGTTGTTCAAGTCAACAAGAAAAACTCAATCCGGTGATCAATATTTCTTCTTTACATTTATATCAATTCTCGATAGACTGTACAAGAAAATTTTAATTTATGTCTGTGTATATTTGACCACTATATCATCGTTTTATGGAATGATTTCTTGAACACAGACACACAAATTTCATTCTCAATCTCATTGAATGCCTTTATCACAATTTCTATCGATATCAGATTGAGATGTTTGATGATATTAAAAGAAATCGAATTCCCTTTTATTTAGATAAATGTAGAATCTTTAAGTTTAAATTAAAACTTCAAATTTTTAAAAAATTAAAGCAAACAAGCTGCCACCTGAATTCAAAAAATAATATTTATTTGTCTGTCAATTTAATAATAATTTTAATAATCATTATCCGATTATCACAGGAATATAACAAATAAAATTTTCAAACATTTCAAATAATAGCACATATGATTTCGACATAATTTTTTTATAATTCTATTACAATGATTGATTAAATTCATAGAGAAGACCATCAATGTTATGATGATGATGATGATGATGATGATCGGAACCATTTGTTATTAGTTTTTTTCTTGTAGTTGTCATATCAATATTATTATTGTTGCTAATATCGTTGGCTAATAAAATAGAATATAAATGTTCAATCCGTTTATTACGGATGAATTCATAACATTCATTGATTTTTGATTCACGTTCGATAATAAATTGTTCATAATTATTATAATTTTTTGATGATTGTTGATTATGATAAATTTGTCTACAAAATTTATCATCTTCACCCCGTAAAAGTTGGAAATAATCTTCTCGTGATTTTTTCATTGACCTATATTCAAATTGATAATTTAGTATTGCGGCAAAAAGATGCCAAATGGTAAACTCTGGCCATAATGCGTCGAGGAAAAATATTGTTGAAAATGATGATTGCCAAAGAAGGAAATCAGATAAACGAATTTCACCTGATGTTCGTAACAATATATCAGGATCATTGATACCAAGCGAATACATAGCATTCGTAATGGTTGTATAATTAATGTCACTCGGTTCGATAATATGTTTATCAACACATTGTTGAAGATCATTGAATGCATTGGTCATCTCTTCTCGGGCAGTATAGGCAAAACAGATGTTCAAGAAAAATCTATCAAATTTAGCTGTTTCGATGACCATACGAGCGATACCTTGTTGAATATCTATCGGTAGTAAATTTATATTACCATAAACACGTATACATATTTCGTATTGCTTTATTTTGGACATTTCTTCGAAAACTTTTTTCGTTTGTTTTCGAAATAAATCCATTAGGTAATTTACTTCTTCTTTTGGCCGTTTAAAATTTTCAATGCTAAATGTAAACAATGTAGCTTGTGTAATACCGAGATCACGACACCATGACAATGTTTCGGTTAGTTTAATAAAACCTTGACTGTGGCCAAGAATTTTTTCTTGGTTTAATTTTTTAGCAAAACGACGATTTCCATCCATTATGAATGCAATATGTTTTGGAATGATACCTTGGCTCAATATTCGTATGACAATACGTTCCAGCCATGTACGTTCGTTTTTGGGAAACCATGTTGTCATTTTGATTAACGGTGAATGAAAAATGAATCAAATTAAATAAAAATTTATGAATTTAATAATAAAGATGACGTGTATTTATGTTATTTTTTTCTGGTAGGCGAAATGCACTATCGGCACTATTCGTTCATCAGCAGTAACAATGATCATCAAAAAGATACATGCTAAACATTTTTTTAATGAAAAAAAAGAAACAACATAATGAATAGGGGAATTATCCAATGATTAATTTGAGTACAAACTTACTCGATTATGCCGGAAACAAAAGACAATAAATCGCTGTATTGACGTATATTTGTGTTGAGACAACAACAAAACAAATCGTTGAATGGTTGATCAATATGAATTATTCAATAAAACCATGAATGATTTTCTTTTCAAAAAACAATGATTAAAATAATCAATGAATTTATAGGGAAAAAATTGTCATCAAATTAGGACCACGCATACAATGATGAAAAAAATAACATTTCCCTATTTCTACCTGAAACCAATCACTGATGTAGATATCGTGTGATAGAAAATTATGTGAATTATTTTGCCAATTGTGTGAATCAACAAATTGAAATAAATTGAATCGAAAACTTATCGACATTTATTCATAATGATTTCCTTACGAACATTAAATCGATTCTATTTCCGTGATCATAGACTAATCAATAGTCTTTCATCTGTTATTAATGACTGCAAATCATTGTACAAACCATCAATTTATATAGAAACACGAAAACAAATATCTGATGATGGTCCACAAAAAAAATCACAAGGAAAAATGACAGAAAATAAGGAAATAAAATCACAATTTATGGAAGATGGTATACGTATGACAACCAGAGAACGTTTAAAACAGATGGCCATTGTTTATGGTCCATTGGCAACCGTTTTACATATCGGTCTTTCTTTAACCTTTTTGGGTATAACTTATGTTGCGATAAAATTTGGAATTGATGCATTCGGATTTATTGAAAAAAATGATTTATTTGGTGAAACTTATATGAGAATTTTATCTACTGGTGGTACATTTGGTGTTGCATATGCTGTTTATAAAGCAATGATGCCTATACGTGTTATGGTTACAATATTTGTTACACCAAAAGTTGCTACTAAACTACAATCAATGGGTTTAATTAAAAAACGTTTTTAAACTGATAATGAAAATTAAACCAATGGCAATATTATTATTTTAGAAAATATGTTTTTTGAAAAATATATTTTTTTTTACAATTATACATAACCAATTTTTCTTAATAAATATAATTTGTTGTATCAATTATGAATTTGGATGTTTTGCTTTTTTGTTTGTTTGTTTCAATATATAAATGATAAGAAAAGGAAAAAAACAGTTATTGTCATGCTAACACAATTAATTTGTTTGTTTATCATTTGAAATGAATTAAGTTTTTATAAAAAAAACAATATTAAAAGTTTAACAGAATGTATAGAAATATTGATTAGTTTTTAATTAATGTGTGTAGGTGTGTTTGTTGAAAGAGAAAAATTATCGAAGTTGAGATTGAAAAGATGAACAATTATCAATGAACAAAGAGAAAAATAATATAACAAATAAATGCTTTTAAATTGAATAATATTCGTCATTTTGAAATTTTCATTAAAAATTTTTATAACCTGGATTACATAATGAATGTTATTGATGTGATGATTGGGCAAAAACTATTAATGATATAAAATTTAATTAATTAATTCTTTGTTTATGTTCGATGATTCTTTTTGTTTTGTTTTGTTGGATATTTTGATTTATGTAAAGCTTTATGTAAATGCATTGCTTTGTGTACTTTTACTGATTTTTAAACGAAAATAGAATATTGTACGATAGATAAAATAGATGAATATTATGGCCAAAAAAATATCAAGCACAATGAAACCTCCATAACCAAGACGTGTACGTGCCATCGTACCGAATATCGTGCCCAAAGCGATGACAAGTAGTATTAATGATATGATTAAAAAAATAAATCCACGCATACGTGAAAGTTTTGGATTAACCGATGATAATTTACGACAATGTGGACAACGTGCCAACCATTCATCACGGCTAAATAAAAATGAACTATGACAATGAGCACAGAAAATAGATACCGAAGATTGTTCATAATTGGAATCAAGATCACCCGAACGGTTATTATTATTATTGGTTGGTAGATCAGATTTCACAATGATAATACGTCGACTAATAAAATTCAATGTCAAATTAATTAAATCATTACTATATACAAGTGTTATATTTACCATTGTGGCCTTGGACAGGAGATACGAAAAGCTGTTTCATTACAGACCAGAAGACAATTACAAGGACATCTTACAAATCGACGTCCGGATGGTGCTGGTCGAATTGGCTGAATAATGGCAAAATCAAAAATATTTAAAAAGACAATAACAAATATCAAAGAAATAACTTACAGTTGCTTCATTACAATTGTCACATTTGACAACATGCTGATCTTTTTTAACTGTTATATCGATCATGGAACCACAGACCAAACATGCCAATAGATTATTTGTGCCAATATTTTGCGGTAAATCTTCTGGCCGAATTGGCGGCACTGGAATTATATCAGGAATAATTTGGCCAGCTATTAAGAAAAAAAAATGAAAATGAATAACTGAAAAACAACAATCAAAAACAAACAAACAAGACTGATTTGATGAGGAAAGAAGTGGGCGTCTTTCAGAATTGCCATCCATTTTGTTGTAGTCAAAATTCAGAATTCTATCTGATGTATTAAAGAATAAATTTTCGATATAATTATTAATTCATAAATAAATGGTTATCATTGTTGAAACATCATACCCCGGGTAAGAAGATAGGAAAAAAAAGTTTCAAGATCAATAAACAAACAATACGATCCTTGTGTTTTGTCTACCCCGCTCTCACTTCATTGGTTCAATTCAATTTACAGTCACAAAGAAACAGAAATAAATAAATGCAAATAGCAACAATAAAAAGAATTATATGAATCAAATCAACAAATCGTGAAGACAAAAAAAAAATTTGATGATCAATGTTGAAATGGAGATGCTGCGCACTCAAACACCAAACATCAACATTAACAACAACAACAACAACAAAACCAACCAACACCAACAATGCACATGTTACGCGTTGTTTTGATGGTTTCAATTCGCGGATATCAATCAATAATCAATCAATTGAAAAAACAAAGTTAAGATGATTGACATTAATCATTTATATGGTAAAAGGCGATAAAAATTGATTGATAAAAGCTTATCATTGAAATTATTTTGGATAAAACAAAATCTATACTATATTCCTGTCAAGCTATACACAACACACAAACAATGGATAAATTTTATTCATTTTTTTCGAAATAAAATAAACAACCATTAAATATGAGTAAAATCATTTTCGACAATTATTTATTTTTCATGAAAATAATATCGAAATTAAAAAACACTGAGATATTTTCAGCAAAACAGTTAAAGTTATACAATTACATTATACGCAAGGGAGGAGCTGTATTTGACACAACCGATTTATACATTGATAGTAAGATTTTTATTTCTTTTGAAATTCATGAAGTATCGTTACATATTATGTGACGGGTATAGTCAAAGTTTTATTCGCAACGCTGCAGATACAATTTATTTTGAGCCATTGTTATTATGCGTCTTGGTGTGTTCGAGCACGTTACACGTTTTTTTTGTGATTAATTTGCTGAAAAAAATTAAATTTTATTTTATTATTTTTTTTGTTATAATCAAATTTTAAAATTATGGCTGAAGATTTTGATGTCGAAGCTTTACTCGAAGCAGCTGTCGATAGTAAAAGGGTAAGTGTTTTTTTCCTATTTTTGCTTTCTTTATTTTGTGAGGTAAGCTTGCGATTATATTTATAAAACAAAAAAAAACCCATCAATATTAATGATCATTTCTACAAAAATCGATCATGATGAACCGAATCGAAATGATATTTTTATCGGCGTTTGCTCAACACAATTTTTTATTTGAAAAAAAAACAACAAGCAACCATATATTAAATGGAATCATTATTCGTTTTGATTAATGATGAAAATTTTGATTTTTGATGTTTCCCAAATCTAGATCCGATTGTGATCTCGAAAGCAATAGTGATGATGATGATGATTTTAGATATTCATGAATCAGGTGATTAACACCGTATACTTGCATCCGTTTCTTTTGGCATGAATGTTTTATCCATGTTAAAAGAACGTTTTTTTTGTTGTATATGGTGGCGTATAATGTTTTCACCACAATATTATTGCTACAAGACGAAATTAATGGCTGGCAAAGATCTATATCAACCATGAAAGTTTGTGGGTGTTTAATTTTTCATTCAAAAGGATTTGAATGGATTTTTTTCTGACAAGCAAAAAAACAGTTCAAAACAAAAATTCAATACAATTTTTTTCTCTCATTGCAGACACTGTATTTGATGATGAGGATGATGTGACTTTGTTTCGAGTCACACGTATTTAACGAATATCGGCCGCATCAATTTTTATTGAACCAATCATAGATTGATCATGATAATGGTTAATAATTCAAAACGAATTTTTCATTTAAATTTTTTTTAAATTTGTTTCATTTGACAATAATCACCGCTTATCATTCTTTGAATTTATTTAGATTGAATTTCATAATTACAAAAAGAAACAAAAAAAATGTTGGCTATAAAAAAACTGATTATTTAAAATGTATGTTTTTTCTTTTCTCTTTCATTAATATTTCTTCTTATTTACTTTCCCAAAAAATCCTTCAATATCCAAAACAAAAAAAAATTTAATTTGCTAAAAAATTGCTGTCTTGGATGACCATTGATGATGATAATATTACTTATCTCATTGATTGAATTTGAATCGTTTGAATAATCAGGATTTGTCGTATAATAACAATCATGGATCGAAAGGTGATGGTATTAATAGCCGTGATCGTTCACCCAAAAATGGATACGCTAAAGATAAGGATGAAAAACGGAGGTAACATTTTTCTTTTTAATTTGAATCTTTTTCAATTCTAATGATTCATTTTTTATTGATTAGCAAACATGAACTTACCAAAAGCAGAAATGAACGTAGTCATCGAAGTAGATCACGTGATCGAGGTCATCGTCGTCATCGCAGTAATAGTCGAGAACGAAGTCATCGGAGTCGTAGTAAAGATAAGAAACGATCACGAAGATCTCGTAGCCGGTCATCAAGTAAACATCATTCCCGATCATCGAAACATCGATCAAGTCGGAGCCGAAGTCGTGATCGAAAACGATCGCCTGATCGTTATTCATCAAGGGATCGACGACGTCGTCGCTCACCTAGTCCACCCAAAGAATTACCGCTAGAAGAAAGAGATCAACGTACTGTATTCTGTATGCAACTGGCTGCTCGTGTGCGTCAAAATGATATTGAAGAGTTTTTTACCAATGCTGGTAAAGTTCGTGAAGTTCGATTGATCATGGACAATCGAACACGTCGTCATAAAGGAATAGCATATGTTGAATTTGTTGATATTGATTCAGTCGGAAGGGCTATTGCTTTAACAGGAACTCGTCTTTGTGGTGTACCCATTGTTGTCCAACATTCACAAGCCGAAAAGAATCGTTTGGCTAGCATGAATGCCTCACAAGCGAAACAGCATCAGCGTGTTCAGGTTACCGGACCAATGAGCTTATATGTTGGATCTTTACATTTCAATATTACGGAAGAGATGCTTCGCGGTATATTTGAACCGTTTGGGAAAGTGGAAAAAATTGAATTGTCTCGTGATCCCGAAACAAATCGCTCTAAAGGGTATGGTTTTGTTCATTTTAAAGATGCTGATGATGCTAAAAAAGCTATAGAACAATTAAATGGTTTTGAATTGGCCGGACGGCCTATGAAAGTTAATTATGTTACAGAACGCTCATCATCTGACAATCATCATTCTCATCATCATCACCATGGAGCTTTAGATTGTGATGAATTAGATCGAACAGGTATCGATTTAGGTGCCACAGGTCGACTACAATTGATGGCTAAACTTGCCGAAGGAACGGGAATTGAATTTCCAAAGGCAGCAATGACAGCGTTGCAGATGAGTGGTCAATCGATTACAAATGGATCGGTAACTGCAACGAATAGTGGTCAGCAAAATAGCCAGATTCCCATAGCCACACAATGTTTTCTCTTATCAAACATGTTTGATCCAAGAACCGAAGCGAATCCAAATTGGCCAGAGGAAATAAAAAACGATGTGATTGAAGAATGTCGTAAACATGGCGGCATCGTACACATCTATGTAGATCCCACATCAAATGAAGGACATGTTTATGTGAAATGTGCTTCGATTTCATCAGCAGCCGCATCGGTCAACGCATTACATGGACGATGGTTTGCAGGTATAGCAATCTTTCATTTTTTATATTTTTCCAAAATGTATTAAACTAAACTTTAAAAATCTCTTTTTAGGTCGATTAATTACAGCAGCATTCGTTCCCGTTATTCATTATCATAATCTATTTCCTGAATCAGCAAATACGACCACTCATTTATGAGTCGATTAGAAATATCAATCAATTGCTTCTTCATCAAAATCAATAAATTTTTAAAGACATTTCACCTTTATCAACAGGAATTATTGTTCATATATTTTTTACAATTTCAGTTATCATCAAAACGAAAAACAAAGAATTTGTTTAATTTTTCAGCGAATCATCATATTATTTCCCATATAATTCAATTCTTTTGTCGATTTGAAATAGTTTTGTAAATAAAATTATTTTATTTTATTATTCGAAAAAAAACCTTTTGGAATGTGTTATCAAATATTATATAATCAGAAAAAAATTCTAATTAGATTCATTTAAATTAATTATCAAAGGCACTTTGAATTGTTACGAATGATGACTATGATGATTGATGATGGTTGTACGTTTGTTGAAATATTATTTTAAAATTTTGGAATTCTTTCTTCAATTCATTAACACTGGAATGTAATTTGATCAATGGTCTATTAGAGATGAAAAGAGAGATTGATAAGTACATTTGAGTGAAAAAAGGAATAGGGAAAAAGAAAAATATACGGAAGAATAAAGTAAGAAATTTATTCATTTAAATCACATCACATCAATAATATTATTATATGGATGATAAAATCATGCACGATTTATTATGTGTTCTACAATCATGAACGAAATGCTTCATTTTTTTAAAGTTTTCACATGAAAATAAAAACAATTACAACAACAACAAAAAACACAAATGTGGCCAACACGGTTAAACACATCCATATAGACAACAACGAACAAAAAAATCGAAACGACAAATCTGTCCACACACTTACTTTTGCTGTTGTTGTTGTTGTTGCGGTGATGAATGTTCCAAATTTTCATTGCTTACACTTGTTTGTTGTTGCTGATGGCTTAAATTTTCAACCAAATTCTTCGATGATGATGATTGAAGTTTTTCCTTCGCCAACGCCAAACTCAATCCTTTGGAACGTTCTTTTTCTTTCGCCAATTCTGTTTCAAGTAATAATATACGCTGATCAATTTGTTGATTGCCGTTATTATGATCATTCATGGCCATATTTAATCGTTTGATTTCCATTTCCTTTAATTGTGATGATTGTATTGATTGATTGATTCGATTCTCTAATTCTGATCGTTCACAACATAAACATTCAATTTGTTTGCCTAATTCAATTAATTTTATGTCTTGTTCACGTATGATTGATTCTTTTTGCATGATTACTTGTTTGATGTCATCATTAATATTGTAATCATCATCATTATCATTATTATTACGATGATAATCATAATGTACAGTTGTTGTATGAAGATCATCTTGAGGCGAAATGGCATTAATGTTTCGATCGTTAATAATATTATCATCTGATTGCTGTGGCACTGAATCAATTTTCTTTCGATATTTTTCATTTTCTTCGTGTAAAGCAAGATTTTGTTTTGTTAATCTTTCAATATCCGTTCGGTTTTCATTGATTTCAGATGTATATTTTTCACATTGTAATAATAATTGTTCATGTTTTGATTTCAAAGTCTGATTACTTTCTTCCATTTTGACAACAAGTTCTTTGAGTTCAAAAATTTCTTGTTGAATTTCCAATTCGCGTTGTTTTCCTATCTCATAATTGGTTATTTTATCATATAATTCTTTGATTGTATGATTGCATTCATTTATTTGCCCTAAACTATTATCATATTCTTGTCGCAATTCATCCATTTGATTTTGAAATGTTTTTGATTTATTTTCGAGTCCAATGTTCATTTGTTTGAGATGTTCATTTTCATTTCGTAAATGGCTTAGACACGATTGAAATTCACAATTAAGTTGAATATTTCGATCTTTTTCATGCAATTTTTCTTGTAACAATTGTTCATTCAATCGTTTCAAACGACTTGTTTCGGATTTGATTTCATTAAATTGTAGCATCAAAGTGTTGGATAATTGTTCGGTTAAAAGTTTTTCCACAAAGATTTTATTGTTATTTACCGCTGTTGTTCGTAATTCATTCAATTGTTGTTGTAATAGTCGACAATCATTTTGAATAGAATACAATCGATGTTTAAATAATAAAATGGCATCTTTTTTCAACTTAAAACCTTCATGTTTTTCATGAATCACCATTACATTGTCTTTCATTTGTTCATATGGTATTTTTCTATTATTATCATCTATTTCGATCTTGTCGATCGGCTGCTGATTATACCGTGATAGTTCATTATTGAGACGATTATTTTCCTGTTGATATGCATTCATATGAATAGTCATATTATTTATAATATCATCTTTTTGGTTGATCAGTTTTGAATTTTCATGTTGAATGGCAATCATTTCATTTAATCGTTGTTTGAGCTGTTCATTTTCCAATTTTATTATTGAAATCTCTTGCTGGTAAGCAACCATAATCGTCTCATCTGTTTTGGTCACTACTGGTGTTTTTCTCAATTCCGATTGTTCATTATTCAATTGTTGTTGTTTTTCATTTTCAAATTCTTTGATTCGTTTTTCCATCATTATCAATTGTTTTTGCAATTGATGCATGTGAAGATCACGATTTGATCGTTCTTTTGACATTTCTTCAATTATGTAGGTCAATTGATTGATCTGGTTACGCAACGCTTGATTCGATTGTTGTTGTTCGATTCGAATGGTATCACCCGAATTCAATGGAATGTTTGCCTGAACATATTGATTACATTTCTCAACCATTGAAATTACCGGATTTGTCTGCGTCGATTGATCAGATTTTTCACAAAGACGTTTGACTATATTACTTATATCCAATTGATCAAATGATTGATTATTATTGAAACTTGAATTTTGGCTATTTTCTATTTCATGACTAGCTAAGTTGTTATGGCAAAATGATGATATCGATGCGATTGATTCACCATCTACAGTATCATGACTAGATTGACTAATTGTTGATTGACTTGGTTGTTTATGTAGTGAATTTCTCTTTTTCCTATATCTTTTCTTTGTCGTTAATTCGACATTATTCGGGTTAATAGTTGTTCCATCTTTGTTAACTTTTTCAATTATTGTTGAAATACAACTGAATGGATAGGGAATCAATTCGTTCATGATGGAATCATATGATGTATCCAATTTTGTGCGATTAATTGTATCGATTCGAAGCGGATAGTTTTTTCGATGAATGGAATGATTCGAAGATCCATGGTTATTTTTGTCGACAATAGAAGTTACTTTTAAATTTTCGGCATCATTATTTAATGGAATGGCACACGGTTTTTTCGGATTACTCATCATAGAATTATTTGGCCATAATCGTTTCGGAAAAACACAAAAAAAACAATATCAAAGTGTCAAAGATTGCATTGTTTTCAACGAGAAAACAATTATTTGGTTACGTAAACATTATCCTAAATGCTATTCCTATTTCATGATTTCTTTTCCCTATTCTGTAGATATAGTGGAATCGAACGATTGGATTCAAAAACAGAATGTGATTTGTTTTGAAAAATTATTATTTAAATCGTTATTTGTTAACAATTGAATAATGTCTTCGAACGTAAGACAATCGGTAACCAAATTAGTTCCATTACTTGAACGACTTTCATTGGTACGCATCAATCAAGATGCTCTTGAACGAGTAATAAGATGTGTCGAATTTTCCAAACAAATCGATCAGATCGACCCGAACAAATTGATCAATGCTAAGCCGATGATATCACCAAGTGCTGAAAATGATAATAAATGTGTTTACATGCGTGATGATTTAGTTGAACCTACAGATCGTGTTGAAATTGTAAAAAATGCTCAAAAATTGGTTGAAGATTATTTCGTAACACCATCCAAACATAAACATTATAGTGATTTATAATTTTTTTTTTAAATAAAATGTAATTCCCAAGTCATTTATCCCTGATTATTATACAATAAAGATTTCTTTTAATAAGTATGAAAATTTAATCAAAACCGTGTTATTTTTTTCTCATTTTGAAAATTCGGCCTTGAAAATATGGAAAAAACAAACACAGACAGTTCATATTCTAATGAATATTGAAACGGCAATCACCAAAAAAAAACTCGTTTCTAAATCATCTTTATCAGCATCTTCAAACAAATATTCATTGCTTGGTTGATGGCTTTTGTTGTTGTTGTTGATTATTAAAATTTTGTATGAAAAAAAAACGAAAAATTTCAGGGGAAATTTTTCAATCGTCATTGCCGTTTTTGTTGTTGTTGATAAAAATGATTTCCATACATCATTTGCGATATTTAATCATTTTGCCTTAACCTTTCTTCACTGATTTATTTTGTTGATTGATTTTTTCTATCTCTTCAGTACATTAATTCATTGAATTCATATGGGATAAACCCATAATTGAAAAAAAATTAAACAGCTACATTATAATCAATTTTTCATTAATTTTTTTTATATTCATTTCACATTCATATCTATAATTTTTTTTTTGCATTCAATCAATAATTCCCGATTTCCAATCATAATCAATTTCTGACTCCTACATTGGATCGATACCTATGATTTACATATAGGGCAAATAGGTGTGGAGCATATCATCATCAAATGTTTTTATCGATTGATACGTTTAAGAAAATTTTATGTTTCAAAACAAGATAATTATCATCATCATCATCGTAACCTTTGGTTTGAAACAAATAAAAACTAGATCAATCCACTTGTTGTTGTTTTTTTTTTGTTCAGACAATTATCACAGCACACGCAATGATCTTATGTTTTTTTTTGCTACTATAAATTACGCTATTAAATTAAACTTTTGAAAAGGATTGTTACTTTTGTGGAATGTGAAAAGATCATTGACATAATCAAAATGCGTGGTATTAATATTTAATCAATCAAAGAAAATGAATCTTTATGGTCTTTTTTTCATTTCATCAATGTTTTTTTTGTTTTCATTTACCTAATTTGGTTGTATTCAACATCCTTGATATCTATCAATCTAATTTATCAAACTATGTTGTTTTTTTCAACATTATTATTCATTAATGATCAGGATATGATTTTGATGAGCGACATTTTTGTTTTTTTTCTTCTGAGAAATTTTTCCGATTTTTGCAATGAAATTCCAAAAGTTCAATTCCGCCCAGCTATATAATTTATATCAGTCAAGTTTTTGTCATTGTTGTTGAAATAGTGGAATGAAAAATTATTAAGACCCTATTTCAATGATTAAACTTGACCATAATCATTTTCATTTTTTCTTTTTTTGATTTGAATGGTCAATGCGATTGAATGGAAAAAAATGGTCAATGATAATGATGGTCAATGTATTCAGAAAGTACACTGGAAATTTTTTTTGGCTTGTTTGAATGCATCCGTTTGAAGTATGATCACATCATTAACCGAAAATAGCATCAATCAAAATGAATATTATGGTTATTATCTCATTTTTTTTCAAATGAAAAACGAATGAGATCTAACGGTAGATTTTCTTTTTCAAGAAGAAGAAGATGCATCATTATTATCAATGAACATTTATAGAAGTGGTTTGTATATGTTTATCATAGTCTTTAAATCAGGCAAAGAAGAAGTAGAAAAAAAATTGAAACTTGTATTTCCAGATATACCGACACACTAACATCAAGCATCTCTTTCATTCAATTTTTTTTTGTAACTATCCATTCAAGATAGCTGAAAAAAAGATAAGCGAAAATCTTGACTTTAACAGTATAAAATGAAATAAGCAACAAGTGGTGGTTGAGTTTTCGTGAGTGAAGAACAAAAATACTTTAAAAATCCAGAAAAAAATCACAAAAAAAATATTCAGCTTTGAATCTGAAAACAAAACTGCCACACAAATGCCATACTACGACTACCACCATCAATATTGCCACACACACAACGCTGTCAATGTTCGATGATAATATCGAACAGACATGTTTGGTAGAAATTCTTTATTTGCTATTTCAAAGATTGAAAATCCTATTACTTTGAAGCTCACTTGTTGCTCATTTCACTTGTTTAAATTCAAGCATACAGTGTCGTCGTCGATATCGGCTAATGAGATAAATTTATTTTCTGATATTTCCAGTTTTGTTTTCTTCCAGAAAGAATTTTCTCTGATTGCAAAACTCCGATTCACCAGCCAAAAATCTGGAAATTCTTGATCATCCAAAAATTTTTTTAAATTAATAAAAATGCCACTACCAAAATCAACGACAATATCGAGATAAGCAACAACAAAAAAATATCCGGCCAAAAATAATCGGATTTTACATTTAAATTGATTTTTATTTATCAGTTTTTTTGATAACAAAATAAATAAATCTAACAAAAATGATGCGTATCAACAAAATCATCATCATCATCAATAAATGATATTCATTCGATAAAGATGTTTATTTTTGTGATTGATTTTGTGTGAACATTATCAAATAATGAATAAGAAAAATAAAAATTATCATCCAAAAAATAATGATCAACATTCAAACGTATCGTTAAACCAGATCGTTGAATCAATCTAATCAGCTAATTTTTTTTCAATGAAATGCATTTGATATTCTTTGTTGTTTTTTTTTCTAAATTAATCAATGATTATTAATATCATCCAATCGTAATCCAAAAACAAAAACAAAAAACTATTTTACGCATCAGCATCGCACCATTTTCTTTTTTAAATTAATTTATTTAATAATTATTTTATTGACATCGCAACATTCTTGCTTGATCATCATTATCATCCCTCTTTTGTAGCTGTTGTTGTTGTTTTAACTTTCAATCATTGTGCTCTATTCATATTTAATTTGGAAATTGTCATCATCATTGCAAAATAAAGCAAAATTATTTCGAAAAAAAATAAATAATAACGTCATCCACTTGTTCTCTCTCTTTTGTCCATAAACCATCTTCCATCCCATCATCGTAATAATAATAATAATAAACCAGAAAAAGGCTCATTTCCTGGTTAAATCTCTCTCTCTCTCCCGCTTTCCATGCACACACTATTCATTCATTTATTCAGTGTCTGTTTCAATGTTTGTGCATCTGATTTATTTTTTCAAAAACTTGTTATTGTTATGGATAAAAAAAACAACATTTGTCCATAATAATATCATAGAACAAAATCATTTTTTTTTACTTGTTATCTTTGTGTTGGAAAATCTTCATTTTGTGAAAAGTTCATCATTTGAACACCTGTAAATTTTGATTTTGCGAATGATTCGTAATCGTGAATTTTCAAAACATTTTTTTTATCATTCTTATTTGCTATAGATAATCAATAATCGATCGATTCGAAGTCTTCTTTTGTTTTTTGTTTTTTTTGATGTAGAAAATCGAATCATTCATCTTTTTTTCTTTTTTGTTTTGTTTTATTGAAAATTGAAATTTATGTTTTTTTTTGTATCGGTCATGAACAGACAGACAATCCAAAACAGGTCTCAAATCCATCAAACGTACCATGAAAAAAAACATTGACTTCTTTTTTCATATATTGACTATTGCCATCATTATCATCAACATATATGATATGTGTGATGACCATATCATTGACATTGTTCATGGCCATCCATTTTGTTTAATTGAAAAATAAATTATAATTTTCACCAATCAAATAGATTTGCAAAAAAATGAATGAACGACAAAAAGTGTGTTAAAATTCAACGAAAAAAATATTTATTTCAAACAAATAAATTCTGGCCATTCCATGGTAAGTTGAAAAATAATAATAATTTCCTATCGAAAATTTTGTCAAAATGATGATGATACAATAGTAGAAAAGAAGACACAAAGAAACATCAAATCCTTTGTAACATTACACAGGAAGAACACTGCTTTTTTTTCTTGATTGAAAATTATTATTTTTGTTGTTCTGGTCTCAGTCATTCATTCATTCATTCATCAAACACAATTTCTTTATGACAGGAATGATGTTTTCCGTTTTTTTTCGGATTGATTGTCAATTTTATTCTCCTTTATAATAATATTCAATTGAGATTTTATTTCTTTGATCCAGGCATTTTTTTTGTTGTATCCCGAAAACTTTTTCATTCAAATTTGATTATGATGATTAGTTGGATTTGCATAATTCATATTTCAAGAAATAAAAAAAAAAGTTGAAAAAGTTCAAATCTTGCCGCCTCATTATTGAAACAAACAACAATTTGGCGTGTCTTTCTTTTCGATTCATTTTGAATATTAATGATGAATATATATCGATCACCAAAAAAAAGTTATTCATTCATCATTTTGAATATCAAGAAAATCTAATAAAACTAGAAGTTTTCACTTTCTTGACTGTAATTTAATCGTAAAATGCAAAAAAAAAAATAAGAACAATTTTCATTGATCTCGGTTAATTTGGATGAGATTTTTCTATATTTTTCAATGTTATTTTTCTTCAATTGATGCAATTGGACACTTTTTTTTTATTTAGAAAGATTTTATTAATCGAAACATCCTTTTTTTTGCTTAGATAATATGATTTTTCGGTTGGCTTCAAGGACGCTTTTCATTTCATTATTTGTTGTTGTTCATTATGATTATGATGATGATGATACACCATCAAAAATCTAATCAAAAACAAAGTATACATTTTTTGCATAATTTATTTTTCCATGTACAACATAAGCCCGAAACAATGCATTTTCCTATTTTTTCTAATGATAACAAAGAATTTTTTTTTTGATGAATGATTGCATATTGCATTCATCAACACTGAGTAAGATGCAATCTTTTTCGGCTAGATTAAATGATGTTTCGATTACAGCATATAGACAACACAAAATATAGTTTTTTTCAAAAATTTTCAATGATGGAATAATAATAATCTAGGGTTACCATATACGTTTTAAGATGATTTTTTTTTCTACTTGTAGTTGTAACCAAATCGTTTGTCAAATGTGTGATCAATCAATCATTGTTCTTTTTTTTCCACCAACATCATCAACAGGTGTGAAGGTGTTGTTGACGTTTCGAATGATAAATGTCAGACATTATTCATTAAAAAAAACAAAGCAACTAGGTTGTATTTCGAAAAAAAATGAGTACAATATTTATAAATTTTGGATATTAAATTTTTTTTTTTGACTTTATGATAATGATGATCGAAAAAATGATAGAAAAAGATTTATCTATCCGATTCCAATTCAATACATTTTATTCATAAATTTAGCACAGAAAAAGCAAAATGAAATTATCAAAGGCTTGGCTGTTGATGTTGATATTGTCCAGTATTTCATTGGCCAAAACAGTGTGAATTTCGCTATTTTTTTTTGTAATAAATAAAATGTATAACCTTTTTGCAACACGAAAAAAACACAAAGTTTGCAAAGTCACCATTGGCCATAGTTGCATATTTTTCTCTTTCTCACCTCAATCAAATCTAGGTTACAAATGAAGTTCTGTTTCATTTATCAAATAAATAGAAATTAACGAAACCAAACATCGAATCAAGATAAGATAGGCAAGAAAACAACAGCAAAAATGTTCCTTATTTGAGATCTATTAATTTCGATCGATCGATAATTGTTAAATCAATTGGGGCCAATTTGAATTTTTATTTTTTTTTCAATTTTGTATCCTTAAGATTCTTGAAAAATTAAGTTATTTTCCAGTTAGTTTTATCATTCCATTCACATCATTTTGTGAATTTTTTTCCATTCTTTTCTCTCAACTGTCACTTATCACATAATAAAGTTCTAAACTAATCTAATCTAATCTAATCTTGATCACATCATTCAAAAAAAAGATAAATAAATCAAATAACCATCTGTTTCAATGGATCAATATATATTCCACCTGTTATTTTTTTTCCACTTGTATCATGATAATCACAATATATATGTGGAACAAACAAAATTAGGCTAATTATGACACAATTCTTCGAAAAATATGGTTTTTTTTTGCTTTTATCTATCTATATTTCCAAAAGTCAAATGATTATCGTCATTTTTTTTCTCTTCCTTTAATTACTTGTCCTTGATGCCGGTCATACATATATACCGCATGTTTTTCTTTTCTAAAACCTGTATAATTTCGAAAGAAAAAAACAACATTATTTTTTCACCTTTATCATGAACAAAAATCACCTTGCACCTTGTTGCACACGATTGAATTGTTTGAACTAGGCGTAACGTCATTTTCTTTTTTGATTGTTTGAAAATAAAGTCGGCATAATATTTTTTTCTCTTTTTTTAATATGTAGTTTTAACTAATAAAAAAAATAATACGATCAATTCGTTTGTTTGTTTGTTATTAACATTTCATTGTTTTTTTGGGGATATAATTATTAAACTAATATACAGTTTGCATGTAACAACAAAAAAAGATTCTTTGATATTTCGTTGTTGTTGTCGTTGATACATCATGGTTCGGAAATGTTTGTATATTGTCAATCCATAATGATAATGATCAGTTCGGTTCCCATATGATTTTTTTTCAAAATAATGATGCTTTCACCTTTAATTATTTATGTGACATTATTATTTTTATCTTAATAGACATGAAATTGTGCTTGTTTGATAATAACGGTACAGAAACAAAAAAACAAGATTGAGAAATATAAATTTTTCCCATTCTTTAACGCCAATGATACCATATATAATATTTTGTTGATGTTTTGTCCAAACATTTTTTTCCCAATGATGATGTTTTTTAGAAACATTATCATCATCAATGTACCTAATGAATTTTCCGTTACTTTTTCCAATTGTAGACGTTACAAGAAAAAATCTAGCCGTTAGATAATGTTATTTATAAAAAAAACAACAGTAAAAAAAATGAAAGGATGCATCCATCCGTGAGACTTTAACATTAAACATTAATATATAGAGATAATAAAACATTTTTTTCAAAATACATAATGAATTAAATTTTATAAAAAATTTCATTCATTATTTCGACTTGAATTTCCGTTGCTATTATATTTTGTTAATTTTTTGTTTTGTTTTGTTTATTTTTCCAAATTTTCAAACACCCAGAATGTAAATATCATTGTTTTTGGCAATATTGCACATCAATATTGAATTGAATTAAATAAAAATGGATTCGAAACAAATTTTTGTTTACAATAATAATAATAAAATCAACAACCATTCATTACAACATTATTGGATGGATAATAATGATAATGCTAAAGATCCGACAAAGACAACAATGACAATGTTCAATGTTGATAAATCATCAGTGCCAAATTCATCATCATCAACAACAAAGCATCGACAACAACAACAACAACGACAATCATTATTATTAAAATCCAGTGATATAATGGCCAAATTATCAATACAAAATAATAATAATAATAATCGTCGTTTCACATCGATGATTAAATCACCATTTTTATTATTTACAAATCATCATTATCAATCGAAAAAGTCTTCATTACCATCATTCAATCTGTATAATAATAAATCAAATAATGTGATGTATCCACCATTAACCATTGTGATTATAATGATTTTCATTTCAGCTATATTGATGGTTGAAAATATTCAAGGGCAACTATATAATATTAGCTGTCCAAATGTTAATCTAATACCACGTTTAACAATGCCAACAAAATCATCATCATCATCATCATCATCTTTAAATAATTTACATTTTAAAAATAGCAATTCTTCTGTTCATCACCATGATTTAATTATGTCAAATATGATGTTAACACCTGAATGTGATTGTACGGTCAAAGATGAAGGTGGTTGGGAAATTACCTGCTTTTTAAGTGGTAATGAAATGAATTCATATGATGAAGATTCTTTATCATCAACAAGTGCCATTAATGATCATAGTGATCATAATGAAAATAATCGATGGCTAGAATCTGAAGATGGCATTGAATTTGATTATGGTGGTGAGATACCGATTGCATTTATTGTTAAATATGATGTTCAACATCAAACTCTCAAGATTGAATGTGATAAAGGGGCGCCTGCATTTAAGCCTGCATTATTTCAAGGTTTTTTTTCTAATATTCGAATCAATTTTTGTCATATATTAATATTCATCAATTAATCGTAATTATTTTTTCTTTTTAATTATTACAGGTTTTGGCATCGATCGTATCGATAATTTTGTGATTTCTAATTGTGAACTTCCACAAACATTACCATTAAGTTTTATATTGGATCGTACACAAACATCATCAACACAGAATGGTGGTTTTCATTTAACATCTACTGTTGGTTCACATAGTTTCAGTATCAATACAACTGGTCAACAACATTTTTTCGATACATTACCATCGATAAAAACATTAGTAATAAAATCACGTAAACGTGTCAGTGTTACACAATTAAACACATTATTGAGCGATCTACGAACATTGGAAGAATTACAGTTGACCGATTTTGATCTTAACGATATTGATAGCTATGCTATTGAAACATATGACAACACACATTCATCATCTGTTTTAAATGAATTTCATAACGTTAATCATCCGAAACGAATGAAACGAAAAAGCAATGATGAACATTTAATTAACCATAATGATGATGATAATAATCGGGATTCAATAATTGTCACTACTATGAGCACAAATGAAATGTCATCATCTCTGACTATACCTACTACAACAACACTAACTACCGAAGTACTACCATTAAATATAGAAACAACAGTAAATAGCAATCAAAATGGTGGAGATAATTTTTCGGATTTAACAACGGCATTACCTTTACCATTACCGCCATTAGGACGATCATTGTCGATAGAGGATCCATTCGTCGTTGATCCTGAAGATAAAATTATTAATGAAACGTTAATTACTTTGATGAATGCTGAAAATGATAGTCGAATCAATTCATCATCATCATTATCGATGAAAACCACGACCATCAAACCTATGATTCCTATAGCAACGACCATAATGTCATCCGATAATCCGAACAACATTGAACCAGATGATATGATCATAAATATGACTTCATCATCAACGACTATTGCGAATGAAAATGAATCGATCAATTTTGAAGAAGATAACATTAATGATGTAAACATTGAAAATCGACCAATTATTATGTTGGATGATAATGTTTTCAATTTTGCTCGCATACTTCCAAATCTAAAAGATCTACGGTTGAAAAATTTTATCAAAGAATCTAGTATACCGAATGTTATGTTTCAAGTTATAAAAGGACTGGATAAACTGGAATTTCTTGAATTACGATCAAATCATTTGGAAGCAATACCGGCCAATGCATTCAAATTTGCTGGTACAGCATTGAAAAAACTTTATTTATCACATAATTCTATCAAACATATTGATCCGAATGCATTCACCAATCTATCACATTTGGAAATTTTAGATATTTCACATAATCATCTGGTTCACCTCAATGATTATACATTCAAACCGTTGAAAAATCTACAATTTTTGACAATGTATCGAAATCAATTTCAAAATCTGAGCGAATATCTATTTCAGTCGAACAAAAAACTTATTTCGTTAGATATTAGTCAGAACAATCAACTGGAACCATTGCCCGCCCAGTTATTTAATGGATTGACAAGTTTATCGAATTTATCACTTGCACATTGTAATCTAACAGCAATCAGTATTGATCAACGACAATTTTTTCGTAATGTACCCAATTTGCTTTCACTCAATATGAAACGAAATCAATTGAAAAATCTTACATTGAATGGTTTGTTCGCATGGAATACTAAATTGTCAAAAGTTGATTTCTCATCCAATCAAATCGAACAAATTAGTGCTGATATTTTTACAATCAATTCGACCGAAATAGTTGAATTGAATCTGAATAAAAATCAACTGTCAGAATTGCCGGAAAATTTGTTTATTGAAGCGCGTAAAATACGTAAACTATCGGTATCATCGAATCGATTGCAGCAGATATCACCAATGACATTCATGGTATTACGTGAACTTGAACAGCTAGATTTAAGTCACAATCTTATCACTACAATCAATACAATTGCAGCCAATGCACTTCCATTTGGTCTTGGTGGTTATCTTCGTAAAATCGATCTGTCATATAACCAATTATTCGATTTTGATTCAGATATACGGCAAATGAATTGGAATTTTTATCTTCATATTGCCGAAATAAATTTACGAAATAATAATTTTACTGGAACATTATGGGTTCCAAATCAAATGGCTTCGCTGGAATCTCAATTTCGATTAGATGTCAGTAATAATCAATTTGATTCTGTAAATGTACAGGAAATTTTATCTACAATTCCAGTTACTGATCGTTCACAAGCTACGGTTACTAAAGAAACGCTAGTTCGATTAGACAATAATCCTCTCAATTGTGATTGTCATCTTTTTCCATTCCTTAATTATACAAAATCTGTTGGCCGTCTTTATGGGAAACATTTTGATACGATCAATAGAAAAATTATATTCATGATTGATGCGAATCCAAAAGTTACTTGTCATAGTCCGGAAAATTTGATTAATCGTCCATTGGATAATCTCAAATTGAGCGAATTAATCTGTACGATCGATGATGAACGGATTTGTCCCAAAGAATGTGATTGTAATTATAGAAGTTCAGATCGTTCTGCTATTATCGACTGTGATAATCGTAATATTTATGTCATTCCAGATGAAATAAACCTATCTAATTATCATAATATATCATTGAAAGATGCTGGTATCGCTCCATCAGTTCAAGGTGTAATATTTCAACTTCGTGAAAATCATATTGAATCAGTTGATAATATTGATACGATGATCAAATGGAACGAAAGTGATATTGATGATAAACCAATATTTGTTGAAATTTTATTGGACAAAAATAATATAAGCAAATTGTCCTGGAATCGATTGAATAACAAAACAATTGATTCAATGGTTTTGGTGAAAAAATTATCATTGCAAAACAATAATTTGAAACAGATACCGTTATCGTTATTGGAAAATTTTGATGCGCTTGTTCAAACTAATCAAACACGTAGATCACCACGAACAATTAAACCAAGACTATTCTTGGGTAATAATCCGATTGATTGTCATAATGATCCATTACCACCGGGAAGTGATTGTTATATTCGTGATTTTAAACAATGGCTTTCAAGTCATCCAAGTTTAATTGGCGATGTTAATATGATCAAATGTGATCGTGAAACAATTGATACAAATTCGTCAAGTTTAGTCATTGTCAATATGAGTGATGAACATCTTTGCCCTGTACTAATACCACCAACAAGCAATACAGCATTGATGGCATTATCAATTATCTGTGTAATTTTGGCATCATCATTGTTTGTCGTTTCGGTACTCTATTATAGAAACAAACAAACCATATTGGCATTTATTTACATTCATCTGAATCCGATATTCATCTGTCTTAATTTCACCGAAGACGATCTTGATGAAGAAAAAATTTACGATGCATTTGTATCATACTCAAGTTCGGATCGTGATGTAGTGATGGAATTGATTGAAAAACTTGAAAAACCACATGATATGAATGAAGTTAGTTTAATTCTTCAGAATGGATTGTCCATCCATGAAGGTAAAGTGGATCAAGTTGTACCGGAAAATGTGTTCAAAAAATCTGCAACACTTAAATCAACAAATAAATCATCGATGGATGTGGAAAATGGAACAGAAAATAATAGCTATAGACTTTGTATCCATGAACGTGATTGGCTACCTGGAAATCTTATCAGTTGGAACATTGTGAATAGTGTACAGAATTCGAAACGCACAATTTTAATACTGTCCGAAAGTTTTATTCGATCTATTTGGTTTCAAGTAGAATTTCATACCGCCTATTATCAAATGTTGGAAGATAAAATGGATCGCCTAATTGTTATAGTACGAGGTAATCTTCCGCCAAAAGATGAACTGGATAAAGATCTTAATTTTTTGCTAACAACAAAAACCTATCTGGTATGGGGTGAAAAATGGTTCTGGGAAAAACTTTACTATGCAATGCCACATAAAAAAAATCGTCCAAACATGATGAAACAAGATCGAACGGAAAAGGATAAACTTACATCCGTAATGTCACCAACAAATACGATAAAATATAATGGTACATCATTGAATGGTCGATTGAATGGTTTGAATGATAATTGGTCATCATCAAAATCATCAAATCCTAAAACTGAAGCAATGAAACAATATGTTGATAAAACGATTGCAAGTCATTTTCAGCTAAATTCATATTCGCCCAATTCATCCATCATTGCTGATCATCATCATCTTAATAATAAACAGGCAGCCCCACAACCGCCACATGTTGTAAATGGCATTTCATCATCATCGTCATCATCATCAACACCCAATTCGAATAATATTAATAGTCGTCCGGCACCAAAAAGTCTTCGAAATTCCGGTACGTTATCAACGGCTTCACCGAATACATTGAAAGAGTTTAACAATAGCAACAACAACAGCAACAGTAATAATAATAATGGTGGAATCGATAATAAAAGTTTTATCGATGAAACTCATACATAATTGTATGTATCGAAGTTTTTAACATTGTCAATTGTCATTTTATTCATCTGTTTTTTATTTTTGCATTTGAAATATGTAAATAGAAAAATGTTGTTTCCCTGTAAATAAAAAGATTTTTTTTCGATTTTTTCAAATAAATTAATTTTTCATTTTTTTTATTAAAAATTTAAAAAAAAAGAAAGAAAAACTATACATATGCTAAATAACAACAAAGGAAAAAATGTAACAAACACATTATGTACGTTGCATTTCAATGCTAACATTTTCGGTAACTTGTTTCTTTAATCGTTCATAATGGGCCATAAATTTTTCGGACATTTCTTCGTTATTGCAACGTTTATAAACAATCGATACTAATTTACAACTATTCATATTTCCTAAATCACAAGCTTTTGTTCCGAATTTGATGGCTTTTTCGTTATTATGTGGTAGCTTATCTTTTATACCTGATGCATACATAAAAGCAGCTGCATAACAGCTTTCACTTGATTCAAATAATTGTCCGGAAGATTCAAGATTACAGCCACGTTCTAGATAACTTAAACCTTTTTCAAAATCTGGTTCAATATATTTTAGTAATGGTTGTTCAAAACCGGCAAGAATTTTTCCAGCAAAATCACAACCAGTCGCATCGTTCAATTCACATGCTTTGGTGAAATATTTTAACGCAGCTTTGAAATCTCGATGTCTTTTTGTAAATCCTATCAGAAAAAAAATTAATCACTTATTCTTAATAATTTGATTATGTATTATTTACCTCGACCATTCAACAGATTCATTCCATAACTCGAACAACTTCGACCATAATTACGTTCATCGCAATTTTCTCTATAAACTTTGTTGGCTTTTTCATAGTCATTATCTATTTGAGATAAATAATCACCTAATAGTTGACATCCTTGAGGATTTTTTTCTGAATAACAACTGAATCGATATTCAATTCCTAGATTTTTTAGAAATTCTTGGATTTCTTCTTTTTCCTTAATTATTTCTGCCATGGATTCATATATGAAAACTAAAAAATAATCAACATCGATCCATGGATTCACATGTGTCCAGTCTGATAGCTATTCTAACCCAATCTGAGCACTATGCAGTTTGAATAGAATCCATGTGGAAATTTTCCCAATTTATTTCAATCATCAATTTTTTATTTCGACATGGATTTATCTTGGGATTCTTTGGATATTGATTCCGAACTGAAAAAAATTATTAAAAATGAATTCAAATTCGAATCTATGACCCCAATACAAGCTGCATCAATACCGTTATTTATAACAAACAAAGATTTAATTGTTGAAGCTGTTACTGGTAGCGGAAAAACTTTGGCATTTGTTATTCCAATTTTGCAGATACTCATACGTAAATCACGAGCAGAAGCAATTAAAAAACATGATATCGGAGCTGTGGTTGTTAGCCCAACTCGAGAGTTGGCCACTCAGATTTTCAACGTATTCAAAATATTCACCGATCATTCAGATGAATTCCATTTTAAAATGATGTTGCTAATCGGTGGTAGTAATACTGATAAAGATATACGAAACTATGCTAACAATGGTGCCAATATAATTGTTTCTACACCTGGTCGACTGTTTGATCTACTTGAAAAATCCACCATTTTTTCTTCGAAAATTCGTCAATGTCTTGAAGTATTTGTTTTGGACGAAGCTGATCAATTATTGAATTTAGGTTTTGAAAAAACGTTGAACGATATAATTGACTATCTGCCAAAATTACGACGAACATCTCTATTCTCAGCAACACAAACAAAAGAAGTGAGTCAATTAATTCGAGCTGGCCTTAGAAATCCTATGAAAATCGAAATCAAAGAAAAGAATTTGAAAAAATTGAAACCAAATCAATTACATATGCCCAATAGATTAATGAATAAGTATATCGTTTTCGAATCAGCTGAAGATAAATTACCATTTCTTATTGATTTTATTCGACAACATTCGAAAGAAAAATTTCTAGTTTTTACATCGACGTGTGCACAAGTGAATTATTTTGAACGAATTTTAAATCGTTATCTAAGTAGTAACAAAATTTTACTACTTAAATTACATCGAAAACTTAAGAATAAGAGACAAAAAATCTATGATCAATTTCGTGAAACAAATCATTCATTGTTGCTTTGTACCGATGTTGTTAGTCGTGGTGTCGATATACCTCAAGTCGATTGGGTCATACATTTCGATTTACCGTTGACCATTGAAAACTATGTTCATCGTTGTGGCCGTTCAGCTCATCAGATCAACACTTATGGTAATTCATTATTGTTTTGTCTTGGCCATGAAATGCAATTTGTTGATCATTCTAAAAGTAGAGGTATCGATGTACAACAATTCGATCAAAATGAATTGAAATTGGATTTACAATTAAAAGAATCGCTGTTCAATTGGATTCGATCCGAATTGAAACGAAATATCAATTTTTATCAAATGTCAATAGAAGCATTTGTCAGTTTTATTCGAACTTATTCATCTAAACATCTGATGGCTAAATGGTTATTTAAAAATTGTGATGTGGTTGATATTGCCAATGGTTATGGATTGTTAACGATGCCTAAAATGCCTGAATTACGTCAGGCAAAAAAATGTTCCACTCAATTTAAAGGTAGTGATGAAGATGCTAAGATTGTTGGAAAATTTAAACAAATCTTATATGATAAGAAAGTTATCAAAAACAATGATTCGGAACAAGTGTCAAAAATTGAAAGTAATACGGCTAAAAAATTCGGTTTCAAACGTAATCCAGAAATTGCCCAAACAATACGCAAAGTTCGTCGCAATAAAACGATGAAAGGACGTACGAGAAAAATTATCTTTGATGAATTAGATCTTGAAGAACTAAATTCAGATGCTAGAATGGTTAAAAAATTGAAAAAAAGTAAGATTTCAAACAAAGAGTTTGATGATTATTTTGGTCTATCCAAATGATTATCATCATAATGATAATCAACAAATGTCTTTCCTGTTTTGCAAATGGTTTTTTTATATTCTATTACGATATGATTAAATAATTGATTAGAGTTCGAGAAAATCGAACGACATTTAAATCGAAGTCGATCATACGATGTACTATTAATCGATGATTTGGCCACAAGTTTTTTTTTCGTAATCAGCAATTAATTCGAATTACGCTTGCGCATAAAAAAGCATGGTTGCAATGAGTGAGTTACCGAAATGCGTGGTGGCGCATATAAAAATCATTTAGAATTTGATTTCTGGCGTTATTTTCTTTCGTCGTCGTTTCATTAATTCATAATTTTTGATTTTTGATCTAAAAAAATTACAATAATACAAAATGGCAGCCGTAGTTCAAAATGTTACTGTTCCTGAAACATTGAAAATAACGGAACAAAAACCGAAATATAAAGTTGGTAAGTTTTTCAAGCTATTAATTTTAAATTGATATTAATCGTCTTCAATTAAATTTATTTAAAGCTGACATCAAATTGGCCGATTTTGGTCGTAAAGAGATAATGTTGGCCGAATATGAAATGCCTGGTCTGATGGCATTACGTGAAAAGTATGGTCCAACAAAACCATTGAAAGGTGCTCGTATTGCTGGCTGTCTTCATATGACTATTCAGACGGCAGTTTTGATTGAAACCTTAATGGAATTAGGTGCAGATGTTCAATGGAGTAGTTGTAACATTTTTTCCACTCAAGATCATGCTGCTGCTGCAATAGCTGCTCGTGGTGTTCCGGTTTATGCCTGGAAAGGTGAAACCGAAGCTGAATATATCTGGTGTATTGAACAAACATTGATTTTTCCCGATGGAAAGCCATTGAATATGATACTCGATGATGGTGGAGATTTAACCGGTAATATAGTAATAGTTGAATTGTTATTGGACCAATTATTCATTTACATTTTTTTATTTAAAATAGCTCTTGTTCACCAAAAGTATCCCGAACTTTTGCCTGGTATTCGTGGAATTTCCGAAGAGACAACTACAGGTGTTCATAATCTATATCGTATGCTGAAAAATGGTGAACTTAAAGTTCCATCATTCAATGTTAATGATTCGGTTACAAAATCTAAATTTGATAATCTTTATGGCTGCCGAGAATCATTGGTGGATGGTATTAAACGTGCCACTGATATTATGTTAGCCGGTAAAGTTGCTGTTGTAGCTGGTTTTGGTGATGTTGGTAAAGGATCGGCAAGAAGTTTACTTGGATTTGGTTGTAAAGTGATCATCACTGAAATAGATCCGATTAATGCATTACAAGCTGCAATGGAAGGTTATGAAGTAACCTTATTGGAAGAAACCTTATCAAGAGCTTCGATTTTTGTTACAACTACTGGCTGTAAAGATATTATTCGTGGTGAACATTTTATGAATATGAAAGATAACTCTATTGTTTGTAATATTGGTCATTTTGATTGTGAAATCGATGTCAAATGGTTGGATGAAAATGCTATTGAAAAAGTCAATATCAAGCCTCAAGTCGATCGATATACATTATCAAATGGTCGACATATTATATTATTGGCTGCAGGACGTTTAGTCAATCTTGGTTGTGCAACTGGTCATCCAAGTTTTGTCATGAGTAATTCATTCACTAATCAAGTTTTGGCACAAATAGAATTGTTTAACAAAAAACATGATCTAGGAATCTATACATTGCCTAAAATTTTGGATGAAGAAGTTGCTGCTTTACATTTACCGCATTTAGGTGTTAAACTTACTAAATTAACAGATGAACAGGCTAAATATTTGGGTATCAACAAAAATGGTCCATTTAAGCCGGAACATTACCGTTATTGAATTTTCGAAACAAAAATAAATGAACAGAATTGATTGCATGTATGCAGAACAAATTGAATAAAAATTAATACTCGAAATTGTTGATAATTTTACTTCGTTCAAATTTTTTAATTTCACCCAGAACAAATAAGCTACTGCTATTAGCTAGTTTGAACCTGTTTGTGAACCATCAAAAAACAAACAAAAACAGTGATGACGATTACGATAATAAATTGATGAATAATTGAATTTATCAAATCAATCATTGCTTGTTGTTACCCCATGTAAATATTTGCAATAATTTTTTTTTTGTTGCCCAAACTTTTTCATATGGAAAAAAAGAACTGTCCTTGATAAATAATTCAAGTAATATTTGATGATAGAAAAAAAACTAGATATTACACATTCCAACATTCTTTATATATTTTATTGCAGGGTGATTTATCGGGCGCCATTGCTTTTGCCATGTGTTTGCATTATATTATCGATTTTTTCTAGCACGATGTGAACACGAGTGTTTCTACACTTATGGTAAGTTAGTGCCCTCGAGGGCAATGTGTATATGTGTGTAAATTTATAGTTTGGGTTGGCGCCACATATAAAATACAATTTTTTTTTGTTTGATTATCAATATTAGAATTGGTTGTTACTGACTTTACGCTTGGACATCATTCAAGAAATTGATTTCAAGTGAATTCGAAGTGATGCCTGAATGTACAAATGATCGATTAATTTCGTTCGTTACGAATGAACACGTACTTGTTACGGGTGGTGCCGGTTACATTGGATCATCATTGGTTCCACAACTTTTACAACATGGTTATATGGTGACCGTATTCGATCAATTTTATTATGGCATTTCTTCACTGCTTTCGGTCATTGCAGATCCAAATCTAAGAATTATTAAAGGAAACATATGTAACACAAATGAATTACGTACAGTATTGACCGATGAAATCACCACTGTTATTCATTTGGCTGCAATTGTTGGTTATCCTGCTTGTGATGAGAATCCAGAATTGGCCATCGAGGTAAATGAAACAGGAACAGCTAATATCGTTGAATTGATACGACCAAATCAAAAGTTAATTTTTGCATCAACCGGATCTTGTTATGGTGCTATCAAAGGATTATGTACAGAAGAAACACCCATCTCTCCGTTAACTTTGTATGGTAAAACAAAATCCAAATCGGAAGAAATGATCTTATCCAAAGGTGGTGTTTGTTTACGATTGGCCACATTGTTTGGCGTTTCACAACGAATGCGTTTAGATTTGCTCATCAATAATATCACACAAATTTTATTGAATGAACGTGAAATCGATTTGTATGAAGCAGATTTTCGTCGCACATTTCTTCATGTTCGTGATGCTGCACATGCATTTTGTTTTACAATATCACATTATGCAAAAATGAAGGAACAAATATTCAATGTTGGCGATGAATCGATGAATATGACGAAAAAAATGGCTGCACAAAAAATCATCGAGCAGATGCCATTTCCATGTTCGATTCGTGTTTCCGTAACCGGCCAGGATAAAGATAAAAGAGATTATGAAGTTTCTTATGAGAAAATCAAACGACTTGGTTTTCGTTCGACCATTTCGATTGAAAAAGGTGTAGAAGAATTGCTTAAAACTTTACCACAAATGTCATTATCAGAAATCAAATTATCTAAAAATATTTCATAAATTATAAAATGTTATTTCTTACAAAAAATCTGTAGCGTAATGCCATCTAGTTGTGGCACTGAAACAAGTTTGTGCATGCTTTCATGTTTAGATGTTTGTTGTCCGAATTTCTATCTCTTTATGATTAAAAATAAAAACATTGATTCTATTTTGTCTTAATAAAAATAAATAAAATTTTTCTCCATGACTTCGATTCATACACCTAGTCCAAAATCACCGGAAAATGAAAAAAGTAAACGTTATGATCGTCAGATACGGTAAATTTATTTTTATTGATTTTTTGTCGTAAAAATTTTTCATGGATGTCATTTTCAGATTGTGGGGCGAAAATGGACAACAAGCTTTGGAAACATCACATGTTTGTTTGATAAATGCTAATGTTGTTGGAACTGAAGTATTAAAGAATCTTGTATTGCCCGGAATTCGTGCATTTACAATTATCGATGATCAAACCGTTAGCGAAGATGATGCCGATAGTAATTTTTTCCTTTCGGTAGAAGGATCGATTGGACAATCAAGAGCCAAAGTTGCAGCAACATTTCTTCTTGAAATGAATGAAGATGTTAAGAAAGGAGATTATTTACATGAAAATTTCGAAACATTATTAGATAAAGATGTTAGCTATTTTACCAATTTCAGTTTAGTCATTGCATGTGGCATCCGAGATGAACGATCATTGAATAGATTAAGCCAGGAAATGTGGTCATTGAACATACCATTGTTAGTGGTCAAATCTATCGGTTTTCTGGGCTACATTCGTCTTCAAGTACAAGAACATTGTGTTCTTGAACCACATCCCGATAATACACTTGAAGATCTTCGATTAACTGAACTATTTCCAGAGCTTAGTTCCTATTTTCATTCTTTTCCAGCATTTGAAGATTCAACCAGACAAGAATTGAGTCGGATACCTTCTTTAGTGATTATCTACAAAAACCTTCTCCAATGGCGTGTGAAATATCAGAAAAATATGAATGAAATTCCAAGAAATCACCGTGAAAAATCTGCTTTGATATCCATGATCAAAGATGAAATGTTTAATTTGCAAGAAAGTAATTCTTGTCAATCATTTACTGATGAATCTGGTGGTGCACGAATGGAATTGGAAAACTTTGAAGAAGCCTATAAATTAGTTAATAAAATATTTTATGATTCACCTAAAATACCGAAAAATCTACAAACTCTTTTGGACGAAGCAAAACAACTAGATATGACAATGTTGAAACAAAAATCATCAAATTTAAATTTCTGGATCATGATGAAAGCCCTAAATGAATTCATTGACCGTTATGATTGTTTGCCACTTAAAGGCAGTATACCAGATATGAATTCTGGTTCTGAACATTATGTTCGTTTACAGAAATTATATAAAACCAAAGCTAGAGAAGATGCACAATGTTTAGCAAAAATCATTCAAGATACATTAAAATGTTCGACTGTACCGGATTCGGATATTCAATTGTTTTGTAAAAATGTTCGATATTTACGCATCATACGAACCAGTCCAATATATCAGGAATTGCAAAGTAAAGCAATGCGTAATCTGGTAACATTGCGGTTACAAAATGATGAAGAAGAATCCGATTCAGATGAATTACGTTTCTACATTCTTATGCGTCTGATCGATCGTTTCTATTCGAAACATCGAAGATTTCCCGGTCAAAACATTGATGAAGTTGATATTTCCGAATTGAAGGTATTGTATTTGACATTGTAAAATATTAATATTTGTTAATTTTTATCAACGTTTATTATATTAGAGAGAATTTAAAGAATTTTGTCTTGAAGCTGGTTGTAGTATTGTGATCAAAGATGATCTCGTTCATGAAATGTAAGTATTTTCCTACTATGATTGATTTATCGATATTATAATTCACTTCAATTTAAAGTTGTCGATATGGTGGATGTGAATTACATTCAATCAGCGCATTTATCGGTGGTTGTGCCGCACAAGAAGCGATCAAAATAATTACCTGTCAATATATTCCTATCGATAATACTTTTGTCTATAATGGTCTATCAAGTACAACATCAACTTACCAACTTTAATTTTTTTAAAAATTCTCCATTTCATTTTTTTAAATGTTATTTTCAATAAACTTTTCTTTATAAAGTAATAAATTGTACATTTTTATTGTAAAATATTTCATATTTTTTCAGATGAAATTGCTAAATTCAAGCCATAATATCCTGTGCTTTATTCTCCAAAATCCGCGAGAAATCATTAATATCTTTGATCCATTTATCCAAGCGATCACGCATCCCTCTAATTTGATCTTTATTCAATACTCGTGGTTGTACCCAACTGATGGTGACTTTTTGTTCAACTTCATCAATGTGACCTTTTATTAAACCTTTGGATAATGCTTTCATTACCATTAGTTCGACATCATTCTTTAGACAATCAGTTGAGGTGGCTATTTTCTCGAATGTCAATACGGCATTTGGCGATGCAAAAGCCATCTCCATTAAACATAAAAGGCAAATCTTTTTACGCATATCTGCTTCATGTACAACAAGATCTGGTTGAGTTTGCCATTTTGGTTTCAATTCGTTGAATTTCGCCATATTTCCAAAATTGAACGCGAACAATAATTCTCGCATGTATTCATGCTCGGGTTTTAATTTTTTAAGAATCGGATGAAGCAATAATTCACCGAAATTAAAGATATCTTGACCAAGTATAGCAGCCAATGACAAGGTAAAAGCACGTTGAGCTAAAACTTCATCGCTTTCTTGAATTTCAATACCAGCTGTACTACAACAACCAAGATATCGAAGTGCATTACGATAATATTCAGCGTGATCGCCAATTTTTTGATAATAATCCGATGCTAATTGAAAGAAACGTGCATGTACAGTTGTGATACCATATTCATTGTCAATCTTTTGATCAATACTCTCAATTATTTCTTTGGCACCCTTGAAATCATTAACTTCTAGTTTGATTTGGCCGCTCAATATTCCACACAAAATAACTGCCAAAGAATCATTTTTGACTTTTTCTATTAAAAAAAAATTGCATTTGAAAAAGAATGAAATTTCAATGATAAAATCTCACCTTTTATTTTGTCGATAAATTGTAACTTTTCTTCATGATTCGAAATCTCCTTCACAACAAACACAGTAATCTCAACCAAAGATAAACTTTTGATTCGAGTTTCGAAATCCGAAATGAAATTATCATAGATTTCGACCAAATTTCTTGGCTGTTCTTTATGAATAAATTCCAACAATTTGATTGTCAATTGATGCCAAAGTTTTTTATTATACAATTCATCAAATGTCACCCAATAAGATGCATAAGATGATTGTTGCTGTTTGGCAAGAAAATTTGAAACTTTTTGAGACATTTTTTCGAATGGGTAAAAAATATTTTGAAACAATGAATGATTTTTCTTGTCACAATTAAAATTATAATTCGAACTGCTGTGTCACGCAGATTTTTTTCTCCAATCCCATCAACATTCATAAATGGTGTTACGCACAAGTTTAAAATTTTTTATTCATTATAAATTAAGTTTTTCGATCTCGAAATCTAAATTTACTTTTTAGTTTTTTACCAATCTCATTTGAATCATTATTATTTTCATTCAATGATTTATGTGATCGTAATCTTTTCATTGAAAATAATCTAGATTTGATTCGTGGTGTAATGGATTTTGTTTCTACATTTTCCAAAAGTTCATCCTTTGATAATGGATTCACATTATCGTCTAAAGATTCTTCCGGTAATGACAATTGATGTTGTATTGGTGAATATTTAGGTGTTAAACATTCAGAATCTACAGACGATGTTCGTGAACTGTCCGAAATTGACATTGGTTTTTTGTTATGATCATTGGAAATTTTTATTTCTTTCAAAATATCCTGAACATTCGTAAATGGGTATTCGAATTGCCTTGATTTTTGTAATCGTTCCAAATAGTTATAGTAATCATATTCTTTTCCTTTGATTATAATCGATTTTCGTATCGTTTTTTTTCGTATGACTGTTCCGATTTCATCTAATCCATATTCTTGATCTGTTCGAAGTAAACATAATGGATATTGCATACCAGGTATAAATTTCGGTCCTATTTCATTGGATTCTTGTTGAAGATATTCCGTTTCTTCGATCATAGCATAATATGGTGATCCAACAATATGTTGTCCTTGCCAAATGATACTTATTTGATGTTCACCGGCATAAAGTGGTATATAAGTGATTAGAATATGATCGTCCATTAATTCAAAAAAGAATGGTATTTTTAAATTCATTCGGTTGTATTTGATTTTCATTGCTGCTTTCATCGTTAGATTTTGTGTCATTTCATCACGATAAAAACTTGACCGAACTACATTTTGTAATCGTTTACTATTATCAATTTCGATTTTTTCGGAACAAAATGATCCGATCGGACCTAATATTTCGATGATAAACGAAAATTCACGCGGATAGGATGCATAATAGATGCTAAATCGTGTCCGACGACTACGAACACCTAATGTTATGCCCATACCTTTAATTTTATAATCATTTAAAAATTGATCATGTGATTCAAGATATTTGATTTTGGAAATTATTTGATTTATCCATTGTTTCGAATGACGTGTACGAATAGGATCTGATTTTAGTAACATTGATTCTGTATGTACTTTTTTCATTTGAGATAATAGATGTATTATTTTAGCTTCGTTATAGCATTCATATATTTCTTTAACATTTAAATCCTGTATAAATGATGAAATCAATAAAAAACTATACGTTTCACGTGATGTAATAAATGTACCGTTTGTATGTTCAGATTATTTCGGATAAGGTAAAATGCCAATTTGAGATTATTGACATAATTATTGGGATTAAGGAGATCGAAACGAGGACAAGATCCAGGTCTGATTGTTTCACAAAGTGCGCATAAACGTATTCCATCACGCCAATCGTCATTGAAATTATTCGGCTTAAACGATGGTGATGATAATTGTTTTTGTAGCCATTCCATTAATCCATTTTGTCGACTTTGTCTGATCAATGAATCTTGTGATGTGATAGGTATTGTTTTTTATTCGAAAAAAAATCTTATCTTTTTTATAAAACTTACAAGTTCTCAATTTGAAAACTAAAATATTCAATGCAGAATTTATGTACAATTCATTCAATCTATGGATGATTCGCTTAACGAAATGTTTTATTGATGATTGAATAGCTGAAAATATCATTCGAATTAGATACATTAAACTAAGTTGAATTTCTTGAATCAATTCCGATGAATCGATTTGTTTGGCATAATAATGTCTATTCATTTGTCGGCGATCCATGAATGAATTATTTGATGAACTCATCTTGAATTATTATTGTAATAAAAAAATATTGGTCATGTCAATCATTTCATTTTTTTAAAATAAACATAGTAATGCAAAATTTTTCGTAGATATTGGCCATATGTGTGAGAGCTTATCAATCAAAAATCAATCATAATCATATCGAGTTTAAAATATTTCTATGGATTACTATCGAAACAAAAAAAACATTTGTCTATTATCAATTCGTCGATATCTTTTTTTTTGTTGATCGAATAAAAATTTCGAATACTTTTTTTTTAATTTGGGAATAATCAACGTCCTCTATGGACGGTGATTCGAATGTTTTTTTTTCATACACATGTGAGCAATTTGTTGATTGAAACAAACATCGGCCCAATCAATTTATTAATCTCAGAAAAGTTTTGTCAATAATAATTTAAAATGGGTGATCAAGAATTAGATGCTATTCGAGCTAGACGTTTACAAGAATTGCAAATGCAATATCAAGGTAAATCACCGGGATCGGGAATGGGTGGTCAAGGAAATATGAATATGGTAAATTAACTAAATAATATTTTTTGTTGAAAAAAATTGAATTTCAATCAATGTCAATATAGCAAGAACAACAACGTGCCGCACAAGAACGACAAGAACGTGAGGAAGATGTACGAAATACAATTTTAACACAGATTTTGTCACAAGAAGCTAGGGCAAGACGTAAGTGAACAGTGATTTACAAAAATGAAAAATTTCAATCTCAATTTTTCTTTCGGTCTTTAAAGTGAGTACCATAGCATTGGCTAAACCAGAGCGCGCTAAAATGCTTGAAAATATTCTCATTACTAACGCACAACGTGGTGCTATTCGTGAAAAGGTAATATGAATTTTTTAGAAAATAAATAATTTAATTTTCAATTGAACAACCATAACAACAGCTTTCAGAAGAACAGTTAATAAATTTTCTGGAACAAGTAAATGAACAGACATCCAAAAAGAAAACTGTCGTTAAAGTAAGTGTAAATGGTTTTTTTTTATTTCTGTCTTATAATTTTTAATTTTTTCCCCAAATCTATAGTATGATCGAAGGAAGACTGCTATCGATGATCTTGATGATGAGGATGATGACATTGATTAGAATTCATAAGATTTACTTGAAAATCTTGATATCATTTGGATCATCAAACAAACCCACTCAAATCAACAAAAAACGATATCTTAACATCGTTTTTGAAGTTTTCAAGATTCTTCATTTGTTTTTCTTTTTTGATTCGGTTGATTGATTTCTCTGTATGTATTAAAATGAAATATTTTAAAATAAACTTAAATGCTGAAAAAAAACTTTCGAATGAAAAGACTTCCCTGATTATTATTCACAAAATATTTTCGGGAACAACAACAATCATAAACATTCGAATATCAACAGACGAATGGTTATTTATAGTAACTATATATGAATATTTTTTTTTGTTTGTCGCGTCATCATCGTCATTATCATCATCATCATCGATACTCAATCCAAATTGATTCATATGGAATTTTTGTTTTGTGAAAATTACTTCCTTGAAAACCTTAACCTATCATTATTATAATCACCAGATGCTTAAATACCATTAAATCAAACAAATATAGCCTTCGATTGATGATGACGATCATCATCATCAACATCATTGGAAAAAAATGAATCAAACTTTCATATGTTTACGTGAACAAAAAAGTTCAACATCATGGTCGTTGTTGTTGTCGTGTGTATAAAATTATCATCGAATTTTCATTTTTTTTGACGTCATCCAAAAAAAAAATTCAATGAAAAACAGAGAAAATCATTTTAAGTTTTCCTTTCAATCACCACGACCACACTGGTTTTCTGTTTATCAAACACAATAATTTGTTGAATGAAAACTTTATGTGTTTATCATTCATTCATTCATTCATTCATTTCAATAAAGACCTTCATCATGATGATGATGTGTGAAAAAAAATTGGTTAATTTCGAAATTCATCGACCCGCGATCGTCGTTGTTGGCCTTTTTGACATGCGTACGTCATCAATATTATCATGACAAAGGAAAATAATGTATTGAATTCCTTTTTACCGATATTTTTGTTCACCTTGGAATGAAAAAAAATGAAAATGTTGTATGTATTTTCAGGTCTACTGTATATTGTTGTAGGCGAATTCAAAAAAAAGAGAGGAAAATTTTCCGATATTTATGATAATTATATACAATTTTGTACATTTTTATTTCATTTTGGTACAAACATTTAATATCATCGATATCTAATTCATAATGGAATTCATTATTGATAATCAGTCAATCAATCAATCAAAAAAAAGGAAATTAATCCGTTTTGATTGTCGATTACACAACTATGATTTTCTTGTTGTTGTTGTTGTTGTTGATCCACTTGATGATATCCAATTTAGTTATTTCATTTTGCTGATACCGATGAAATGAAATCAATTTTATTTTTCGTTGTCAAATAACAAATCAGAAAATTCTTGTTAAAAATTTTATGCCAATTGGAATTTGACAAAAATTTGTAAATATGGAAAATTCTTTACTATAAAAAACAAAGAAAAATCAATTATAATTTATCATTTTGTTTTTGTTTTTTGATTGATAACAATGATCTTGACAATGTTTTTTTTCTCATTTCAAAAGAAAAAATCAATATAAAAAAACATGTCATTTCCATGTTGTACATGTGTTATGTGTTTTATGGTACATTATTGCATCGTCAATAAAGATATAGGCAACATTATTTTGTATTCCAAAGTATATAATCATCATCATCATCATCATCATCAAAATCGACAGGTTGTAAAATAACATCGTCGATGATGATGATGATGATGATGATGTTGATAATCGTCATCATCCAGGTTAGAACCTTACAGACAAATGGATAATATTTTGTATACGCCTAATCAACTAACTAACCAATCAACCAGAAAACAAAGACAACGTCAATGTACCACACAATCATTGTTAGTATGTGTGTAATGTATAAAACTTTCAATTATACCGCGGTATATATGTTGTGTGATATAACAGGTTGAAAAAAAAATTATACAGTTGTAATTGTGAATTGTTTGTCAATTGTCAATTTGGGATTTCATATACAAAATTTTCTGTTATTTTTTTTTTTGCTAATAGTGATCATCATGATCATCATGTCTATTTCTCTTCCTCTCATTCTTTTTTTTTGCAAACTGAATTGTTTTGTTTTGTTTTGTTGTAAAATAATAACTAAATGAGTAGTGAAAATAAAATGATTGATTTTGGATCTAGCATTTTGTTTCAAATGTTGTGTTTTGTGTTGTATTTGTCTATATTTTTTTTCAAGATATTTAACTACATGATTTTCAAATTAAAATGTTGGTCATATGAATTATGAAACAAACAAAAAAAAAGAATAATTTTACATTTGTGTTCACAGTGTGTGTGGGTGTTGGTGTTATAATCGCGAACAAAAAAAAAATGCTACATTTGATTGATGTAAATAAATAAAAGATCTATTTAAATGTAATGTTTGAATGTATGGCATGTGATTGATTGATTGATTGATTGATTCATCATCATCATTGAATGAATTCAACATTTCCAGAATCAAAGTTATTACGTCAACAACTGAAGAAAAAAAACAGTATAACAAACGGATGAACTAAAAATTATCATTTTGTGTTATGGTGTATGGTCGATAATGTAAATAATATTATACAACAGTAGTTATGATGATGATGATGATGACGGCTCATCTATCGTCATCTTGTTGTTGTTGTTGTTATTGTGCATTTTATATCCGTAGCTTCATTTATTAATTATTATTATTATTAATGTCATTGGTTGTAAGTCAATTTTTTTTATTTATTACTCCATTATGATTCTTTGAGACTTATTACAGTTATTATTTTTGATTGAAACTATTATCGTCATCAATTTATGGATTATTGAAACATACAATGAATCGATTTGTTATTAATATTTCAAAAAAAAAAAAACATTTACTGAAAATATTCTTACGCACAAACAATTCAAAGTTGAAGTTTGTCGAATTTATCAGAAAATTTGCGCAAATTCTTGGCGCGCTTGTTTTTTTCCGTTACTATTCTTCTCATCAACATTTCTTCTTATATGAATTTGAATCATCAAGATTGATAATAGCAATAAATGTACCCCATATATACAGGATATGTTTTCTATTTCTATATAGAAAACAGTTGTTTTGTTAAATGGATATAATACTAATGGAATATATAGAATTAAACATCGGAAACATAAACATATTGATCTCAATCATTTTTCTATATGCTGCTACTCTGAAACTGAACAGAATTTTTTTTTTTTTTTGTTCAACCAAATAGGAATTATATAAAAACTAGAAATATTTATTTTTTGTTGGTTCAATTCACAATTTTTTTTTCAGTTAGATTGATGATCGTTTTCCACATTGATATATAATATGATTTTATCTCTCATCTTCAACTATTTCAACCCAATCTTGAGATAGAAATTTTTTCAATCAACAAACATTATTGATAGAAAAAAAGTGTGTTTGTTTTTTCCCATTTTTTCTAACCGGCTCAATCAAATCATTTGGATTTTTTTCAGTTTCATTTTCATTTTTGTAAAACTAATGATAATGAATTATTATTTGACATTTTTTTTTGTTTGTTTGAATTTTCTTCAAAATTCTGATTAATTTTTATCCATGATGAAATAAATGAACTGAACTGAGTACAATCCTTTTTTTTTTGTTTTGTTTTTAATTTAGTTGTTGATGAAAACTGATCATCATCATCTGACTAGAAAAAAATCCGGCCATTACGTCATCATCATCATCATCATCTTTGTCGTCGTCGTTGTTGTTGTTGCACCAAACTTTAAGTTATTATCGATCACGTAAATCAAAAAAAGAAAAAGAAAACACTTGAAAAGGGAAATGACAATATTTTCATTTTAAATTTATCAACATTTGTTGATTGATTGAATGATCAAACAAACAAAACAATTTTTTTTGTCTTGTTTTCTGTTTTTTAATCGTCAATCAGACAAATAATTTATTGATTGATAAACAAAAACCCCGGTTCAATAATTTATTAAGTTATCATCAGAAAATTGTCAATCAAGAAAAACAGAAAATCATGGCTGCCCCATCATCACCTTCATCATCATCATCAACAACAACATTCGAATCAACATCGGATTTATCACCAATATCCAAATCACCAACACCATCATCAGATGGTAATTCATCGTCGTCATCATCATCATCTGGTTTATCTAGTTTTGGTAGTTTTGCTCAAACAGATATCCGTATAACATATGAATCGGATGAAGGTACACCATTGGAAGAGAATATTATACCACATAGGCCACAATTATCAATCAATAATTGTAATAAATTATTACGACAAAATGGTAATACAATATTTACATCATCACAATTACCATCGGCATTTTCATCACCATCATTATCTGAATGTGGAATCGATGAACCACAAACATCAACAAAAACGACAATAACAACAAAAACAGCCATACAATCATCATTGAATACAATAAATAATTTGAAAAATAATAATGTTAAAAGTGCGGCTCATCTTCGCATACAAGGTCTGATATTTGATCAAACACATTTATTAATATCACGTGCAACCAGTATGGATGAAGGTATATTTCAATCACCATTAAATTCACCAAACCGAACATCAGCACCATCAAGTCCAATTGGACCAAAATTTAAAATCATACATGAAGGTGATGTTCATCTTTGTCGTTTAAATCATCAACGTACGATTGTTTCGAAAATATTAAGCTCGAAATTTTTACGCCGTTGGGAAACACATCGTATCTATTTAACATCGGTAAATTTGGCTTCCAAAACGGTATGTTTGTTTATTATTCTTAGTTTCTTCTTTTTGTTAAAATTCTAAACTAGATTGATGATTAATGTTGACAAAATCTCAAACATTATTATGACAAAGATTTTTTCGATAACATTCCAGAAAAAAAACATACATTTTTTTGTATAAAGAACAAAGTAAACAAAAATATTATTTGGAATGTTTAATGTTTAAAAAACGAAAAAATGTCAAACACAAAAAACCCTTTGAGTTTAAAAAATTTCCAAAAAAATTACGATTGTTTGCATATTTCAATTGAACTATTCAATGATGATGATGATTATGCAATATTCATCGTCATCAGGATGATGAAAATTTCATTTATTTAATTGCATATTTGTCAAGCAAATTTTTTTTCCAGATATTAAAATCATAATTTCTATGCATCCCTATTGAAAATGCATTGACGACAATGTGAACAAGTGATATGGAAAGAGAACAAATCACGTCAAATGGCCCCTTCGATAGTTTGCTTCACTGTATTGCATTTTTTAAATTTTCTTTCATCATGAATTTTTGATTTTTTTTACATTGTTCAGTTGGAAATAAAATCAAATATTCTTCTGGAGAAAAAAAATCTTGTTCAATCTCAAATCTGATCAAATTGATCGTCTGAAAAGATATATGACGTTCATTTACATTCATCATCTGATGTTTCACTTGGTCAATCATTGATGATGGTGATCATCAATGATTATTATGATGAAAAACAAAACAAAAAAAAAACAAATATTATGATGTTGTTGTTATTGTGTTTTGTCTGTTTTGTTGTTTTGCCTTACAGAATTGCAATCATCATCATCATCAGTGTTTTTTTCTATTCAATTAATAAAATATAAAAAAAAACTTTCCCAAATAAAAACATCAACTGAATTGATGGATTGGATATTTTTGTTGTTGTTTATTTTTTCATCCATTCCGTTTTTTTTCAATTTTTCCAAAGTTATCCATTTCAACGTATCGTTGTTTTTTGACAAATCATTTTTTTTGTTGTTGTTGTTGGTTTGATTGATCATGATCATGGTGATAGGGATTTCTGAGTTTTTTTCACTACTACTATTGAGAATAAGAAAGAAAAAAAATTTGATCAATTCATTCGAACAACAACAACAAAAAAATTGAATTGATCTCATCAATTCAATTCAATCAATTTTGCAACAAATAATAACCAGTAACAATAATAGAAAAGAATGAAAAGATATAAATGAAAACTAGATGATGATGGTAAAACCTCGAAAACACAGAGAGAGACCTAGAAACATTGCATGATGCCATTGAATAATGACGTCAATTGTGACCCAAATTTTTTTTAACGTAAAAATTTTATAACGACAACAACGTGAATATTGATGCATGTACTGCAGAATCTGGCTGTAGAATATATGAAAGAAGAAGGGAAAAAATGTGTTATTTTTTTTCTTGGTATACCAATAGTTGCTTGCTTGCCTTGGTTGTTCCTTGTTTCATAAAATTCACTTTTTTTTATATTTTGAAACATTTATATATCTCTCTCCCCCCGCACATACTCGATGATATACAATCATAATAATGATATATATGTGCGTGTGCATATCAACCGAAAAATTCTGGGTTCTTTTTATGGTCCGGTTTTTTTTCAGAATTCATTGTTATTGTGGATGCTATTATAGCTTTTTTTGTTTTGTTTTGTATAGTCATAATCCAACCAGACCAGTTGCAATTATTCTTATTGAAATATTTTGATACTATATTATCATCATTATTAGTGGTTATAAAGTTCTTCACAATGGTAAATTAATGGAATTGTAAAGCTGTTTATTTTCTGGTCGGAAATATAATTTATGGAAAATGAGAATAAAAAGTTTTTTATTACTTATCATTTTGGATTGAAATTGACCAACTTTGTTGATGATGACAAGACTTTTTTTTCGGTAAAGTCTTTTATCTTTTCATTAGATTATCATTGCCAGATACAGAATAGTTGCATTATTATTATTTGTTAAATAACTAAATACCGACCGAAAAAAAATTGCCACTGTTTATGGATAAAATAATAATGATAATCCACTGAATTCAGTTATTAGCTTTGTAACCTTATGAATTATTATTATTATTATCATGTATATGATTCATTTTTATCAGCTTTTTGTTTTTGTTGGAAATGTTAAACAACAAAAGAAAATTTCGAATAAATTTTTTAAAATTACCAATCATGATGATGATGAATGACATTATCATAAAATTTTCGTCTCCCCTATCGATATTATAGCCTAAGCAAAACTACGAATAGAAAAAAAATCGATATTTTAAATTCTTGTTTTGTGAATAATAATAGAGAGAAAATTTTCCATTAAACTAGATTAATAAAGGTTTCCAAGGTTTATTGTGATAGAGATAAATACTAATCATAAAAATGAGAAAGAAAACAAAAATTTAGGTCAATTCTGTATCAATGTTTTTATCTAACTCTTCTTCATTTTTTTTCTGACACAATCATTTTCAAACACCACCACCACCAACATCATCATTATGATGATCATCATAAATGTGTCGTCCGATTGTCGTGAAATCAACCAACCAACCAACCAGCCAGCCACACACATAGATTTATATATGTGCAACAAAAAAAACATTTCTTCATATTGACGTCATGAATTTAGGATCCCTTGATTTGTATTGCCAATTTTTTTGGGAGGGGGGGGGTTGATAGTGGATTCATTTTTATGTTTGTTTGTTTATTGTTGTTTGATAGTAAACAACAACAACAACAACAACAAATAACACTTATTATTATTGAAATCCTTTGAAACATGAATAACAACAACAACAACAATTTACGAACAATGTTTTGTGTGATATAAACACATAAACCCAAACATAATAACAATGATAATGTTGTTGTTGATGATGAAACTAATAAAAACTTTTAATCATTTAGTGGCCAAAATTTTTTTTCTAGTCTGTAACAATCATTTTATTATTATATGACGTTTGATTAACCCTTTTTTCTTTAGTCCAATATATTGGATGATGACCAATATTATTGATGTTAATGATGTTTTTGATGTTTGGTTCGTTTATCCCATCCGATATAAAGTTTTTTTTCTATCAACATCATCATCATTATTATGACTAGAAAAAAATTAGGATTGAAACCGAAACCTATGCATATCTATGGAATCAGAAAAAAGGCCATATGCTTAATTTTGCTTTTTTCAATTTTGTTTTCAATTCTTTTAACAATCGAATCAATGATGATAATGATGCTAATAACAACAACTTGATGTTAATACGATGAAATGAAGCGATGTTAAATATAAATATTAAAAGAATAATGTTTTTGTATTGTATGGTGTATTGGGCAATCAAACAAAAACAAAAAACAAAAAACTTTTTTCCTTTATAATAATCATCATATAGCACGCGAGTGTTTTATACTTACATCACAACCATTTTAAAAAAATTCGGGTTCAATCAAGTTTTTCATTCATTTTCCTGCTTTTTTTTTGCTTAGGGTTTAGTCTTGTATTGGTAAATGCCAAAAGTTCAATACACTTGAATACATTTATGCACCCATTTATACTAACTGTACACACACATGTACATTGCCTTAGAATTGAAAGATGCTACAATACTGAACTGAAATTCAATATAAATTCTCGTTTTTTCCTATATCAGACACTATATATACTTGAACTTTTTATTCCCATGGCTTTAGGACTGATAGATTTTAGTAGTTTCAAACAACAATATAATATTTAAAAAAAATAACATAAATTCTCGATTGTGTAACAAAATATTTATCCTTTTACTCCCAATCGACATACAAAAACAGTATATTTATGATAATTAAATATAGAATCTTAAGTTTTGTTTCCTAAAAATTGAATTTTATTGTTGTTGTTGTTTTTTTTTGTCAACCACTGATTTAACCCGATTCTTTTGTTTCGTTATTGTTGTAATTAGAATTCATTTTCTTTTGATGATTATATAATAATAACAACTTACGTAATAACGTAATCATTATTATGATAAGGAAATCTGAGTGTGTTCCAAATTCTTTTCTCACATTTCTTTTGCTTTTTAAGCACATTCATTGATTTTTTTCAGGATGTATTTTTTGTTTTCATTCGTAAATTTAGAACAATCTGGTTGACGAGTATGCGTTGGATGTATTTTATTGTAAAAGTTACGTAGTTGTTGTTTATTATTATTATTCAATTTGATTCATGAAAATGTTTTATGAATGATTTTTTTTATGAATAAGGACATAAACTATATGTTAGTACATGAGTTCGTGTGTGTGTGTGTGACACAGTTTTTTTAGGTCGATAGAATCACGTAGGCTATGACGATTTTAGTGTTCCAGAAACGAACAGAGTATTAATACTACAAGCGCACTTATACACAGAGAGTTTTAGATCGGTTACGTCAACGTAACCGACTGAATTTTGTCTTGTTCAAAATATCACAATGAACTAGATACAGTGTGTATGTATATATGTGCGTGTGTATGTAATATTAACAACAACAACAACAACAAAAAGTCTTTGACCGAAATTATTACGGATAAGAATCGAATCAATTGAGAAAAATAAAACTAGGTCAACTTCGGTATATTCGATATTTACGTTTACATCATTAGGCAATAACAGCAGCTGACCTGCTCTGTTATCTGAATTCAAATTACGTAGATTATTGTTTGTTTTTTTTTTGTTTTGGGTGTACATGAAAAAACATAACGTTCATGGCCAGAATTAAGTACTACCGGTTTATGTTTTTGGATTTATCTTTCTTTTTTTTGCGTTTTTATTGAAAATGAATGAATCACATTCTTAGAATTTAATATTAATACATTTTTTGGAAGAAAATTAATTTTAAAAATAATTTTTTTCTTAAAAATATAGCCAATTGGTTTTATGGAAGTTCCATTACCATATAGTCAGATTGAAAATGCATATGCTGTAAATCGTTGGGATACGAATCAAAAATTTTATATTCGTATAGTTGTTGTTGATGGATCGGTACTGTTACAGGTAGATTTTTCAATTTTTACACATTGATGTTTGTAATCGATTTTTTTTCATTGTTCAATAGCTACCAAACAAATGGGTACGAGATCAATGGCTTTATTCAATCAATTGGAAGGTAAAAATTCTCATTGAAAAAATATTTGTTTGTTTTGTTATCTAAAAAGAATCTATTTTTGCATTTTTTTTTCTATTCTAATGACGTATTCATTGAAAACAAAATATTTTATTATATTATTTTTTTCAAGAGGGCGATGCCGGGTAACGGAATCGAAAATGAATAGGATTTTTTTTAATAATAATAAAAATAAATTTATAAATAAATGAACGATGACATCATCATTGTTAGTTATCATTAATTGTCTGTTCAAATTCCAAATGTTGATGATGTTCATATTGTTGATGTTGAAATTTTTTTTATGAGAAAATTTTTTCTGATATTTGATTTCAATTTCAAAATTCTTACTTTTTTTATGTTAATAACATCATAATCATTCAGCACATTAAACAAACCAAAAAAAAAGAAGAGAAATCAAATATCAAAAGGCGACAATTCTGTGGAATTTTCTATTTTCAATTTTTTCCCGTTTCTCTACCCTCATAGAAAATAAAATTTAAAATTTTGTTTTTCCTCTTTTAATTGCTTTACGTACAAGCTTAGGTTTCGTTTTTTTTCTAAATTTGTTTTTTCCATTATTTCCATCTCTCACTTTTTTTCAACAAAATTTTGTATTTTTGCAATTTTTCACCCTTTCTCTATAATTCACTCTTTTCTAGCGTTTCATGCTCAAATATCAACAAATATTGGCCAATCCATCGATTCGCCCTGATGTACTTACTAAAGAATTAAAAGTTTGTTTTTTTTTCTTGTTTGTTTGATGGAAAAAGAAATTCATTTTGATTTTTTTCTATGCGAAACAGAATCTGATTGAATTAACGTTGACTACACCATTGCAGGATGAATGTATTTATCAAACATCGTTGGATGTCATCAATGAATTATTGCAGTTAAGACTTAAAGACGTAAGTTTCACCCGTCAATAAAATATGAACGAATAAATGAAATGTTATATGAATGTCATTGGCCTTCTTTGTTATTGATTGAAAACATTCATTATAATCTTTGCATTGAAACAAATAAAAAACAAAGAAAGAAATTCTTTTTTATTCATAGTACATTCGCCTTTATTTGTATGTCTTTTGTTTTTTTTTCAAATAATTAAACAGTTTGAACGAGATGACGAAAAAACCTATGAAATGCAAATGACAGCACGGAAAGTAAATGAAGAAATTATTAAGCTTTTATCACCATTTCTTGAACGTACAAATCCTAGTATTGAAATTTGTCGATTTTTAAGCAAGGTTAGTAAACTTATTATTCACATCGAAAAAACGGAAAATATTAACAAATCACAATTTGATTGTTTATTTTTACTGGATATTATTTGAAAATTATAGCATTGCCGTAAATATCCACGATCAATGGTTATTTGTGAATATTATGCCGAAATTGTACAACGTATTCTTAAACATAATATGGATTTTGGTAAATATCCACGTATGCGTGTACTTGTACAAGATTATTTTGTTGCATTGAATCAACATAATGATGGCAATCATTTGATTCAGACATTCATCTATAGGTATAATTTGATTTGCATTTTTTTCGGATAATGGTGATGAAAACATCTTTTCTTCTTCTTCTTGTTAGTGTTCATGGACGAACTATGATGTGTCCACATCCACGTGTCATTAGTAATTTAGTTTCCGTTTGTTTGGCAACAATATTTTCATTGTTTGAATATCGTCAATTGGATTCGGTTCAATCAATCAAAAATGTTGATGATGATGATGCAGAAGCAGATGTCGAAACATTCGATGATGAAGAATGGCAAATTCATGTCAATTGTTTTATTGATATGTTTCGTTTTATGTAAGCGTTTTTTTTGTCGTCTAAAGACATAAACATTTAATCATTTATTCATTCTTGGTCGGTATTAGATCACAATATGAAGATTGGCGATTATCATTAGCTCAAATACTTCAACCGATTCCTTTACCCGATTCAGCATTGAGTGATCCGAAATTTTTCTTGTAAGTTTCGTTTTAATTTTGAATGAGAAGTTTTAAAATTTGTTGTGTTTTTTTCAAATAGATTATTTAAGCCTGTGATTGAGAATGTTGCAAATGATCATCGTTGTGACGTACACCAAATGTTATTAGGTATACGTGAAAATAAATCTAACTGGCTTGATCTCTATACACCGGGCAATATTGGCTGCGATGATGATGGTCAACTTTGGAGCACTATGGTATGATATATGTATTTTCTTTTCATTGATTACCTTTGAACAAACAAAATAAAAAAACGATCATAATGTGATGAATCAAAATTATGTTCATCATCATCACTAATCCCAATTTTGTTTTCGAGCATTGACAGTCATTAGTTCATGAATTTTTTATTTCTTTCATGTTCTCTTCTAGAGAAAAATATTCTTCGCTATTCTATTATATTGATTGTTAAATTAACTAATAAAAAAAATTTCTTTTTTCTATGTATTTTGAATTATTAATTCCATCAAACAATAGACCACCTTTTATTTTCATACTTAATAATATTTTTGTTATTGTTTTTTATTTTCTTTTATTTTCCTTTACAATAGCTTAAAACATTGATTAGCTGCTGTTGTCGACGTAAAAGATTCTATCAAGTATTGGTCAAATCATCATTGGATGCTTGTTTATTATTGGCATTAAGAGAGGAGGAAACCTGTCAGAAAATTCTATGCGATATGATTGAAATGGAGCTTATAGAAAATTCATCGGATGTACAACAACAAATAATAACAACATTACAAAGTACATCTACTGGTCGACAACAATATGAGGATCTTTGTCAACGACAACTACATCTCAGGGAATTTGTAAGTTCATTCACATTTTTTATTTTTTTTATTTTCTTCTTAAAATAAACATTATTATCAATTGTTTTTTTATAGCAAAAAAAAGGTGGTCCAAAAAAACTAACACTACCTTCACGATCTACTGATGCTGATCTGGCCAGATTATTGAGTGCCGGTTCATTCGGTGATCTTGAAAGTCTTTCATTGGCATTTACACAGGTGACTAGTGCTAGTGCACAGCATCTGATTAAATTGCCTTCGCTTCGTTATTTAAATCTTTGGTCTACACAGGTACAATTTGTATTCTATTAAGAGTTATTGTTATTAATTTTTTTCCGTCAAATTACAGTTCACTGACTCTGGTCTTCAATTACTTGCCGAACATTTAACGCAATTACAGGTTCTAAATCTTTGTGAAACACCTGTCACCGATAAAGGTTTACTTTATCTCACAGGTAAAATTTGATTGAATTTTACATTCACATTAAGTAAGAATAATTTTTTTATTCTAGCATTGAAAGATCTTCGTAAATTGAATCTCAATAGTACAAATCTTTCATCACAAACATATGAAAATTTGAAACAAAAATTACCATCATTACAAGAAATTGATGTTCGTTATACCGATGCCTGGTGAATTAATGAATGAACAATTTTAAATATTGACTAATTATTCATTCAAATAAATTGCTGCTATATTAATCAGACAATTCAAACAAGAACCATAAAAAAAATCATCATTAATATTATTTCATTTTTTTGGATTTCATTCTACACTAAATTTTTACAATTTTTACACCCACATACACACATCATATATCCATAGTCGTATTTTGGAAATCATTGAATCACATATACGATATACAATATAGTAATTTGTTGTCATTAATCTACAATCGAGAAGAAATCTATTTCGATAAAACATCGTTTAATTATTTTGTTTTTTCTAATGATTTTTTTTCTGATTTATCATGCACGCATATACAATCATATTTCGCATTTTTTTTGACACATTTGAATTGAATTCGTTTATTTTTTGTCTCACCGCAACACTGTGAATATTTTTCATTTTTCATCATCTTATTTATCATATAATCAAAACTTCATTTTACATTCAATTTTTTTAAAAAATCTTAATGTTTTGACCATGTATATCGATCAAAAAAAAAAAATTAAGATTTTTGTCATATGAAACAAAAAACTTGATAACAGTATGCCAATTTTTTGGGCAAACAAAATTGTATCATATAAAGAACACCGTGTATTCAATCGCAATTGATATATTTATTTATTTATTTCAATGAAATGATGTGTGTGTGTATTAAGTTCTTTAGTTTTTTTTCGTTTTGCTCTTGCTATATTATTTAACGTTTTTTTCGTTTAATTGATATCTGGAATACATGCACAACATACCATTTCTTGGAACATTTTTGTTTTGTTTTTTTTCGAATCATTATGTGTGATCTATACAATCTATATACACCAAAAATCTATTGATTTATTCAAAATTTTACCCAAGCCTTGTTATTCGATCATCATCATCATCCGGTTGTTGGCTTATTCTTTGCCTATTTGAATTTCATTTTATTTATGAATTTTATTATTATTGTCATCATCATAATTATCATTTACACATTGTATTCGTTTGTGTGTGTGTGTATGTGTGAAGAATGTAATGAGATAAGTATGTATATCCATTACATTCAAAATGTTATCATCATTTTCTTACCTCCATCACACACCATTATTGTTATTTTGGAAATGCTTTACCTATTTTGTTTTGAAACATTGAATATTTATCTTCATTAACAACCAAAATCATAAACAATGCACAGAACAACAAACACATCCACAGATAATTTTTGGAAATATTTATTAGCACACATTTATTTAATTGAAAAATTTAAATTTGATTTGATATTAATTTATTTATGTTCTGTTTTTTTGATGTTTGTGATTTACTTATTCATTTCATTCATCCTACATAGATAATAATGATATATACTATATATTGACCTCACCCATCTATTTACAATTATTATATTTTAGCTGGTCTCAACTAATCAATCAATCAATCAATCTAACAATTTTCGATTCATAACAAACAATGTTTTTAGATTTCCTTTCATCATAGTTCTACATGAATAGATTCCATACAAAATCAATCCTATATTCAAAACATTATTTTATGAATTGATTATAATGATTTGTTGTGAAGCATTTGATCAATAAATGAAATGATTATTTTCAACAAAAAAAAAACATAAATTTTATTAATTAATTCAATCATTCAACTTTAATACAATCATATCGAGGATCATTGATAATTCTCAATAGCATAGCTAAAGGTGATAATTCATTCAAATCCTTGACGCTTAATAAAAATTTAAATGTCTGTGCCGAAAAACCAGATAATAGTATGACACCATCTTGATTGGATCTTACTGGAGTTGATTTGCTTGCTTTTTCACCTTTTAGATTCCAAAATATGATGAATGGCAATCGATAACCAGCTAGTTCATATTGTAATCTACAACTCTCATAATTAGTCTTTTCACAAAGAGCAGAATCGAATTCCATATCGGAAAATATGAACAATATGTTTGGCATTTGTTCATTAGTCAAATTTTTCTCTTTGCCATAGTTTAATATCAAATCAAAGACTTTGTTCAAATCGGTACTCATTCCCCAATCACAACTAACCATTTGTTTACAACGATCAGCCAACGATTTGGTCATATCGATTGAATGAAATGAAGGAGTTGAGGAAAATGAAACACAACGATTATTCCAAGCCTTATCAGCGATTTCCATGATGAACAACGTTAATCCAATAGCTCCATGTATTGGTTTAATGAGTTGCGATGACATACACATCGAACCACTCACATCACATACGGCCAACGTATTGGTGAATAATAGTGTTCCGTTTGAACGAACATTATCAACAAGAGATTTCCATTGATTATCGATAGCTTTCAGTGCTGTTAACTTTTCTTCATCAAGATTCTCTGGCATTTGCTCATAGAAAAGATCAACACCGAGGACAGTACCATCCATAACTTGTTTGACTAGATCAGCAGGAGTCAAAGCGCCTGAATTTAATGATTTGGTGCCAATAAATTCATTGAATCGTTCGTGATCACTTCGAATAAATGCTTGACGATATCGTAGCATGGCCATTGATGGTACATGTTTGTAATCGATCGATTCCCATGATTTGGAAGACATGAAAACCTCAGGCACCTGAAGTTTACGTCTCATTTCGGTACATATGCGTGTTAATAATCGAATCCATTGTTTTTCTTCACCACGTTTGGTTGCATCGATTTCGTTTAAGGTTTCTGACTTCAATTCGAAAAATTTCTTAGCAACAGGTCCCAAAATGAAGAGATATTTATCAAAAAATCGACCACGATTTGGTAGCCATTTGGAAGCCAATGATAATTTGCTGAATTTTTCTTCCTTGAAATGACCATAATCTTTTGATAGTTGTTGTGCAAACAGGTCAACAATTCTGTCATAAAGCTGTTGAAATTTCTTATCATTTTCATAAAATTTATTGAAATATTCCAATCGATATTCATTCAATTTTTTCAGTTTGGCTTTATTAGTCTTGATTTTATAATGAAATTTTTCAACTTTATAATCCATCTTCGGAAAATAATTATTCAATAATTTATATTCGAATTTCTTTCCATCAAGATGACGTTCAGTAATAATTTGTCGAACTATTTTTTTCGATTCATCATTAGCGACGAATTTACGTTCAACTTGACGACAAACAGTTGGTATCATTTCCAATTCTTGTCGTTTCGTTTTTGGAAAAGATCGTAATATGACAGTATCAAACGGGTTAATGTGTGTATAAAGTCTATAATAATTATAAAAAAACAAGAGAAACAAAATTAGTTCTATCAAAATAATGATTAAATGATAATTTTAAAATACTTTTTATCCTTCTTTTTGGAGGTATCAACATCATTTGGTAGAACATCGAACAAAGCGATCAACAATAGATTTAGATAATCTTTCCAGCAACCGAATTCATCAAAATGGACCAAATTAAGCATAAGATTATTGAATTGATTTTTATAAAGCCATTGTAAGCAAATCAATGCCTGTGGACGGATTCCTTTTCCGCCACGAATATCACGACAATTGATTATCATTTTCATCGTATCCAATGGTGATTGTGACCATGATTTTTCCAATAGTTCGACAGTACGTTCAGGACTGGAACCTTCAATAACATGGAAGAAAAAATCCAATCGAGCATCATTGCTCGAATCGAATGTCAATGAAAGGTTTTCGGTATATGTCAAGCTCATTGTTTGATCTTTGCTTGAGCACTTTCAACAAATAAATGATTATGATGAGAGCAATGGTGGAATGATCAAATATGAAACATAAATAATGGTGGGCGATGCAAAACTATATTGTAACTATATGTAACTATGACGTAAGTTGTTGCAATCCTTGAAAACACAATATATCATTGATGATAGTATTGATACCTTCAGATACGATGTATAAATGGAAAAACCTATTATTTTGACAATGCAACTTTATAAACGTTTTGGAAACGTTGAAAAATAATTTATTTAAGCGAATAATCAACATTTTTATGAATTTATTTATTTCATTAATTATCAAAACAATTTTCAAGAAAGTTGGACAATTTCGTTTGATCATTAAGATTTCTCTTTTTCTTTGAATTGATTAATAATTTCTGCAATATCTCTTTAGAGCTTTGACTTTTCAACGGCGTACGTTCATTTCCTTTTCCACGTTTATTTATTAATTTAGATGCTGATATATTATTTGTTTTCATGATTCTATTAGGATGTTTATTCGGTTGTGATCGGCTTAAAGCTTTGAAATTGAATTTAGATTTACAATTTTTACATTCAGTATTCATAATGTTATAATCAAAATTATTTCCCTTTTTCATTCGTTTTTTGTGCTTTGTTTTCTTCGGTATCAATCGAAATTTGGCCATTGAACTCCAACAATTGGGACATATTTCTGAAAGACATTTTAATTCTTTGTTATTCTGGTTAGGATCGATTTTGGATTCAGGGTGAATCGCTAAACGAGATTGATACTGATCGCATCGATTATTTAATAGCCAACGATAATAGGACGATAAACGACAATCATTATCAATGTTTTTTTGAATTTTAAACAAATGATCAAGGGTATTCAAAACGAGCGACATTATCTTGATTTTTTTTTTAATTTTTGAGAAGTTTTAATAGTCACGTGGAATATATGGCACTTTTCATAAAAGAAGTTACCATTTCAAAGATATTTACCGAATTCAAATTTAGCGATTTAGCCTCACAATAATTAGATGATTTAGTCAATTGTTCAATTATCAATAACTTTAGGCCAATCCAATTTAACTTCCTGAAAGAAATTTCAAATAAATTGATAAAATTTAATAAAAAATAAAATCATACCAAAACATCTAAACTGATAATATCGGCACGACAATTTCCCAATAATGAACCAATATTCGGTCGTGTGCGACCGAAATCGGAATGAACAAATTCTTTTATATAGGTACCAGCTTCGGTAACAATAGAGATGCAAAACATATGTGATAGGAATTCTTTCCATTCTGGATCAATTAATTCATCAACATTTAATGGTCGAGCCGAAATCGAATGAACTGTACGATGACGATCGGATAATGTACGTCGATGTAGTACACGTATAGGTGTTGTTTGACAGATGACCAAATCCTTCACTGAATTTAATATGTTCATGTCGCTCTCTGTAAATGGTCTATCAATACAACAGATTGCCTGATATGTTTTTGATTTTTCTTGTTCCCCTTCTTTCAACAATTTTTGACTTTCATTTCGTGGTACAAATTGTAAATCCCTTACTTGCACATCTTGATGTGTTTGATTAATAAATTCTTTTATTTTTGCAATAATATTATTATCATCATTTGACCAATGTGGATTGATTATTTCAATCAAAAATGGTCGACCGGTTCCTAACATTCTAACATCAACATCTTCGCGGCCTGATGAACTGAATTTAATATCACTATATTTGATATAGGCAGTGACACCAGAAAAAATTTTCTCCTGTACAGAAGATTTAAAACGATTACCATCATTAACGAACCATGGAGTTTGAGATAAATTTCGTGATAATTTCCGATATCGCCCAGCAATATAAATCGGTTCTCGACTGATGCAAACATCCAATGTGCAAACGGTTTCGATCGATGCCAATTCAAATTGTTTAACAATTTGATTATTTGGATTTTCAAATAGACGACATATAGCAGCATGATTAACGATTGATGAAGATTTAAATCTTTTTGGACTAAAAACATTTCGTTGACATGTTTGCATGAGTTTTTCGCATTCCATTGTTGATTGAGAATGATCGAATTTCAATTCTATCACATAATTACCCGTAGTCGAATGTTGTGCTTGAATAGCTTTTTCAATCGGAATTGTAATAAATGTTTTGATCACATCTTTAACATTAATAACTTTTTCAGGATTTAATTCAAATAATTTGCAAAAATAAAGATGGCGTAATGTCAATATGAATGGCAGACAGATATGTAATTGAAATTCATCGATAGTGAACTTAGTAGTCGATACATGGCCAGCAATTTCTTTGGCTTTAATCATCATATATTCAGCATTTAATAGATCAAGACATGATTGACATAGCTTGTTTTCATCATTAATAAATCGTTTTTCAAGAATGTTCAACAAATTTTTATTGGATAAACGCTCTTTACAAAATGTTAAAAGATCATTATGATCATTTAACATGAATATTTCACGTAAATTTGAATATCTTATGATACATGTAAAACAAATATAAAGCGATTTATTCGAACAAAGTTCGATAATTTTTTCGATCGATTCTTGATTTAAAATCGAAGACATTTCGTTTTTAAATCGAATGTTTGTAATTAGAATATTTTACGAACATCACATGGATGAATGGAAAATTTATCGTAAACATGAATGTTTTCTGGAAATTTTCTCACACTTGAAAGTTTGAAAAATCATTAGACGAATTTATGAAACTTGGATAATGTTCGTATTCGAGTTTTCGGAGTTATGGAAATTAAATCCGGTTTGATTGAAGCTAATGACTTCTTTTTGTTTAAATGAGTAGAATTTTTTGATTGCGTTCTTGAACAATATTCGGGACATTGAGATATCGAAAATTTCACTGGTGATTCTTGAATATATTTGGTAAATGGACTATCACTAATTTTTGATATTTTTGAAATGTTTTTTCGATTAATTTCTTGTCTAATAATCTGATCGTTTTCATATAATGGTTCATCAATATAAACGAATTTTGCATGATGTAAATTTTTACTGTCTTCTCTTTTATCATTCTCATTTTCTTTCTGTTCAACATGTATATTTTCATAATAATTTTGTTTCATTGATGAGCAGGTAAAATTGAATCTATTCGAATCGTTTATCATCATATTTAGCAAAAATGCTTCCGTTTTAGTTTCATTACTGAAACTTAAATTTCCAAGATCAACATTTTCAATATCTTTTATTTGATTATTGTCGATATTTTCATATCGATCATCTTCGATCTTTTTTACATTTCTCGATTGATCACAACAATCAATAGCAAAAAAATCGAATGGCTTTTCCTTTCGATCATGATATTTTTTATGCTTCACCGATTTGATAATGATACCATCTTCGATTAATTGATTAAGATCATTAAAATCACCTAAATCCAAGAATGTTCGAAGACTGCTCATATATTTGACATTGATCACACATTCGTCGAGAAATGAAGAAGATTTAAGTAATGAATCAACACAAAGTTTAACACCATGTTCATTTGTCTGAAAAGTAAAAATCGGGTAAAATTTAACTTGAAGGAAAAAAATATCATAAAATATAAATACCAATTCAACGTCATGAATGAATATTCCAAATCTGTTCAATATCGATTCAATGGTATAATAAGCCAATTTATTTGGATTAGTTTCTATGCAAAGCATATATCCTTCAGGAAAACAAATGGAAAAATTTATCACTCTTTCTATTCGAATATCGGTCATGACTAGAGATGAAATGTTTCTAGTTGGTTCGATTTCCTAGATTTGAAAAATTAGTATTTATCTCAATATAATTACTAAATTACCTGATTATCTCCAATGGCAATGATTTTAAAACAATAATTTTGCATCGATCTTTTAATCAATAGATTTTCAATTACTGAACCAATTATTGATTGTTGTATGATCGAAACAAATTCATATGATCCATCAGGCATGATTACTTTGATGAATTGATGATTTGACCATCTTCTTGCTAATATGGGTGAATTTTTGATTCGAGATAATTGATTATTATCACAAAATATCGGTCCTGTTCTACGATAGTGAATAGAATCCTCAGCTGGCTCATATATAGGAATCGATTTTCTTTTACGATTTGATAATGATCGATTCTCTATTGTTAAAGATGATTGAAGATTTCGATATTCCGTAGTTTGCATAAATCGTTGATATGAATCATTTTCCATCAATTCATAAACATGTTTGGCTGCTTTATCAAAAATATTGTTTGATGGATTATTAAGATTAGATCGAATCATTTTCAATGTATTCGAATCAATGTTAACAGTTTTTGAACCATTCAACGAAATATATTTGGAATAAATTTCTCTAGATAATTTTTTAATCTGATGAAAAACAATTGAAATAATAAAATACTATGGCAATAAATATCGTACAAACCAATTTAACATCGGAAATATTTTTCAATCGTTGACATTCAAGCCAAAATTCCAAATTTTCTTCACTAAATTCTTTGCGAAGAAATTCCATGAATAATTTTTGACCATTTTCATATCTTAACACTTGATCCAATTCCATTTTGTCAGGTAAATTTTTTCACCGATCCAAATGCGAGTGGCCGCGGTTGGAACTAAAAGACCGTTGTAAAATTTAAATGAAACTCAATACGCATGCGTACAATATATTGATTTATGAAATGAATATTTTTTTTTAATTTAAAAAACTTGTTTATTAAATAATTTACGTAAAAATCATTCTGTTAAATAAATACGAAATTGTACAATAAATTTATAAAGGCAGGTTTGTCTTTTTATAGGAGGTTTTGATTGTCTTAGCAATGTTTGTCAAAAGATTTTAATAGTTTTCAATACGAATATATTCTTATTTGCTGGCAATCGAATTGAACATTTGACGTATTTCCTTATCATAGAATTGATAAACATTTTTACGTTTTAATTTGAATGCAGCTGTCAATAAATGATTATCTGGTGTCCATTCTTCTGAACAAAGATGAATTCTAGTAGGAATCTCTTTCGATTTTAAACCAGCTCTTTGTCCCGTTTCTTTTATCGATGCATGTACAATGGTTATAATTTCTTCATCTTGACATCGTTCAGGGTGACTTAATTGATTTTTGTTCAAACTTTTTGCTAATTCTTTAACAATTTTACGATTTGGTGTAATTAATGCGACTAAATCGTTAGAAAACATTTCTGTACAAATGCAAATGTTTTCCACATAACGTGATGAACGTAATCCGGTCTCGATCTATAATTATCAAAATTAAAATTATCAGAATTTTTGACAACGATTTGTGTTACCTTTCCAAGAGACACGTATTCACCATTGGCCAATTTTGCCAGATCCTTTTTCCGATCAATAATTTTCAATCGTCCAGTGTTCGGATCAATTTCACCAATATCCCCCGTATAAAACCACTGTATACCATTTTCATCACGATAAAAACTTTCTTTTGTTTCTTCTGGCATTTGAAAATAACCGGAAGCAACCATATCACCACCAATGACAATTTCTCCTCGTTGATTAGGTTTATCCTGTGTTGTGTAACCGCCTTCTTCCCAATCCACTAATTTACCATAAACCATATCAGATGGAACACCAACTGTACCAAGTGTTAGATCCCATGGTGATTTTACGTAAACACCGCCACATGTTTCGGTACAACCAAAACCTATGATTGGAAAAAATAAATAAAAATTATTATTTCAAAAGATTTCATGATCAGAATGTACCATTGGTCATGTGAATATTTAAAGCAGCTCTGCTAAATTTTTCAATCGATGTGTGTAATGCCGCACCACCTACACCGATCATACTGATTTTGCCTCCAAATTCTTCTTTAATTTTTTGACAAACTAGTTTATCAAGAATGGGTGTCTGGAATCCCCGATCGATCCAACGATTTTTATACTCCATAAAATATGTAAACAATGGTGCTGCTAGAAATCCACCACGATTTAGTTGAGCATAAATTTCTTTCTGAAATCTTTCCAATATTAACGGCACGACAACAAAAAAATCCGGTTTGATTAGCCTCAAATCACCTATTTGTCCGGGTACATGAGCTGGCGATGAATTTAATAATGTAAATGGTGTGGCAAAACCAATTTTTGTTCCATCTATAGAATAGAAATTTTTATCGCAAAGTTTCTTTCAGATATGATCATGTACTCACTGAGAAATAAAAGGATATTGAATACATAACCATAAATATGACTTAAAGGAAGAAATGATGCCATCGTCATTTCGTCCACGTTGACATCTATATGTTCAAAAAAGGTAGTGATACTTTGTATACTGGACAGTAACATTCGATGATTGATCATCACAGCTTTTGGAAGACTGGTCGTTCCTGAGGTATACATTATTAACACTAAATCTTCTGGATCGGGTAATTTAAATTCGATAGGAGCCATTTTGGCACCTTTTTCAGTCATATCATTAAAAGGCGTAACTTTTATTCTTGCCGGTATTTTAATGTCTTCGACACGTGGAAGAGGTGGAGCATTTTTAGGCCGTGGGTAATAGATAATATGCTCAACATTAGGTATTCGATCCGTATAAGTGAGCATTTTTTCTTTCAATTCTTCCGTTGTGATCACATATTTTGCTTTTGTTTGATTGATACCATAAATAACACCAGAATCACCAAGATTGGCAAACAATGTTACTGTTACAGCACTTAATTTGGCCAAAGCCATGGAAGTGAAAAACCAATCGGGTGACGTTTCAGCATAGATAACAACATTATCACCTTTTTGTACGCCAAAACTATGTAAACCTTTGGCAATATTTTCCACACGATCCAATACTTCACCAACAGTCATCCATTTATATTGATCATCAAGAACAATTCTTTTCAAAATTTTGCCATCAATTGTGATTGGTAAACCTAAGAAGGGATGGATGGGTGAAAATAGATTAATATGGCTGAATTTTAAATGGCTAACCTTCTTCGTCGAATGAGATTTTTTCATCCAAAATTTCCCGAACACCGACTGATAAACGTGAACGATCCAAAAATTTCATTGCTTCTAAATATGTAGAACATTGTAACACAGCTTTAGTACCAGGTGGTCCTTTACGAGTCCATACAACCGAACCAGGTGTTTTCGATATCAATTGAGCTTGTATTTTATTAGAAAGTTTAAGTCGTTGCCATGGTCGTTGATAAATAGCATAGAATGGTAAAGTCAATGCTGTATATGTATTTACAAGCAATTTTGTATGAAATAATGTTATATTCATAAGAATTTTCGACATCATCTTGAATCCGGAAGATGTTTTTTTGCTGTTGTTGATCAATTGATGATCAAATTATTATTTTCTTCAAGTGTTATTACTTAATTTATCACTTGTACATTTGAAGTATCGATATTCTTTGTTAATTATTTATTGATTTCAGAAAAAAACGACAAACGATTCTGATATAATTCAACGTCGGTAACGAATGTACCTAGATATACCGAAAAAGACAAAACAAAACAAATCGAAATGGTTCTTTTAAAACATTGCGCAAGATTTATTTTTTTTACGTTCATATCTGTTATATATGGTTAAGATTCACCTACTTTTTTTCTTCCCCTTCTTTTTCGTTGTTTGTAAAAGTTATGGTTAGAATTTTATTTCACTTATTCGAATAATGATGATTGTAGAAGATATATTGCATCAACGAAATGTAGAAGTAATGTGAATGACGTTTTCGAATTGTTTTGATTCGAATAAGAATTATTATCAAATGATGAACACTAAGAATAGAATCGCACGAATGATCATACATTCATCATAAACTTGGAATATTTTTAAGTAAATTCATCTGGTTGGGTACAAAAAAAAACAAACGGTTATCATCCATTATTTTGGAAGAATATTGTTCGTAAAATACACACACATAAACAAAGAATGAAAGATTTTGTTTTTTTTACTGTATCGACATATAAATGTGATTTATAATTATATATGATCAGATTAAATTTACTTTGTAGATCAGATGACTTGGCAGAAAACAAATTACAAACATTGAAAGAGATATAAATTGGAAATATAAAAAAATGAATGATGGCCAATCCTATTTCATCAATGATTATTATCAGATAATAAATAATGTCTGTTATTTATTGCAATTCTTAAACATTGTAAAAAAGTGATGATACAAAAAAAACACCAAAAAATTATTATAATTATAAAAAAATTAATTCTTTGTAAAAAAACCTTTACACAAACGCATAAAAGTAGCACAATATATAGTATGTCAACAAAAAGGATGATGACCCGTTTTTTTTTTGTTTTGGTCTCATGAATCGAATTCTATTTGCACACCATATATACACAGAATACGGATACGGATAGAATTATCATTTCAATACTATATAGAATATTAATATGAGTGTAGGTGTGTGTTGAAATAGAATTCGAATAATTTCACACACAAAACATACCACTTCTTTTTTTTGGATAAAAATTCGAATATTCGTCAAAATTTATTTAAGAATAAAAAAAGATTGGATATAATTTGATAAGCACATTTGTTAACTTTTTAATGCAAATATTTAAAATGTTAATGTTTAAAAATAAAAATGACTACTGGGTCAATGTTTAACAAAATGAACGATAATGAACATCGTCGTAAGTCAATGTTAATGTGTCACAAGATCAAACAAGGATCAAAAGGCATTTGATTCAAAACATGCTGATCTAATGATCAAGTTAAAAAAATCGAAAAAAAAAGAGAAATGACCTGCGTGATAATATCGAATAGCAAATGGTAAAAAGGCGGCAAAACACGAATTGATACTTACTTACAACTCGTATAAAACTTGAATATAACACACACCATACCTGTCCAATTAAAGCAAAACATCAAACTTGATCTTGCTGATTTAGATATTGCTGTAGAAAAAAAAACAGAAATTTTGTTCATTTTTTTAAGTTATTTAGAAAAAAATTTTTATTCCGAATGAATGATCTGAATCTCTGGATGTGAATGTGTGCATATGGTTTGTTAATGATTGATTGATATTCATAGATGGGTTTATGATAATTTAAAAAAAAAATCAAACAATTATTTTTATGAAAATTTTAATCAAAAAAGAATGGGAAAAAATCATTTTTTTTTTGTTGACATTGGTTTATAATGATAAATGAAAAGAATTTTGGGTGATTGAAACAAAAAAAAGAAGATAGCAGTACACATATCATATATTAGATAATATTTGTGATGAAATTGATAATGATTCAAATGATGATGTGATGATAATTCATGGATTCTGGTCGTATCTAAATTTTTAAGATTCAAAATAACCAAAAAAATGTAGAAAAAACTGAACGATTCGAATAAAATTTATGAAATAAAGTCTAAAGTTGGTTAAAGTCAAAATCGTTCGAATAATCCAATGCCGAAGATGGAAGATGTCATTTATGTGTGTGTATTATAAAATGTTTTTTCATTGTTCATCGCAATCTAAAGCCATCATGTTTCATTCATTTTAATTTAAACTTTTTTGTTTGTTTCATTTGTTAAAAGGGCGGTTATGGGGGGTAAGTAGGATGATAATCTTTTCTTTATGATTTGAAATTTTATAAAATAATTAATGTTAACATCGTTGATTATTGTATTTGTTTGTGGAAAAAAAATCTATCTATGTAAAGAGAAAAAGATAAACACAAAAAAAATTGTGAATAAGGTGTGTATTTTCCAGAATTCATCGATGAATTTCAATCATATGATGATGATTTGAGATTATAAAGAGAAAAAAAATGCGAGAAGAATGAAGAAAAGAAATTCTGTAAAAGAAAAAGAATACAAATCTATAACCAAAAGATCTTAACATATCAAATTCATACCTATGTGATTTTCAAAATGTTTTTTTCATAACCATCATTGTTATTTTTTCTGTTGACTATTTTTCATGATTATTAATAGTGGCCGATTCTGGTTTGTTTGTTGTCGATGATTGTGAATTATTGACAACTTCATTGGCTACTGTAGTCTTATTGGATGTGATTGATTTATTTCCTGATGATTCGGCTTGCTTGTCAGCATTAGAAACAGCTACCGAAATAGGTTTCGAAACTGTATGTTTAGGTTTCTCTGTTGATGGCTGTTTTTTAACATCATCTTCAGATTTTTTCATTTCTTTAACATTGGAACTATCCGATATCGTATTTTTGCTGCCTTCGTTTTTAGCAGGAGCAGTAGCCTCAGCGGAGCCAGAAACGACTGGTTTAATATCCGCATCTTTTTGTTCTGTTTTTTCTTCTTTTTTCTTTTCATCAGCAACAGCTGCGTTTGTTGTTTCCATTTTGATCGGTTCTTCCGAATCACTTGATGAAGTGGCACTCTTTGGTGGCCGACCTCGACGACCTTTATTAGCACTACTACCATTACTATTAGCCAATGAGACCTTTTTAACTGGAGTTGGAGCCGGTGTTGGTGCAGGCGTTCCACGTGTCTGAGAACGTGTTTGCCGACGATTACCATCTACTCCAGGTGGTGTCTCCAAAACCAATGACGAATCAGTTATTTCGCTGACTCGTTTACGTTTTCGCCCAGGAGTATTAGCAGTTTCATTGTCTTCTTTCTTCTCATTGATAAGTTTTTTAAAATATTAAACTTTGATTTAAAAATTTTATCAACAAATTTAAACTTACCAAATCATTTTTTACTTGAGCTTTGGAATCATTTGCAACATTATTGGTTGAAACCTTTAAAAAATGATTTGAAACATCAAAATTAGTAATCATGAATGAACAGAGTTAAAAACCGCGCGCTTAATTTTTGTTTGCCATGAAATGTGCTATCCTTATAGTACGTAACGACCAAAACAATTGGTATGAAAAATATATTCGATTTTTCCATTCTAATTAATTGCGATTTCCAATTGATGTTCAATTAAAGATTCTATTTTGAGACTGATTACTATATTGCTGAATTGATAGATTATTAATCGAAAATTAAAGTGAATGAAGTCAATGTCGCAATAAGGTTTTTTTTGGAGGGAAACTTAAAAAGAATGTTCGGAAAACAAACTTTTCAAAAGATAGATATCAGATAAAGTCATGGATTATGATAGATCAACATTTGATTGGCAGACAGATGGCTGGTTGGATGTATAGCTTACCTGATTATTATTTGGTTTCACATCAGATTTCATCTCTTTGATGGTTTTTTCTGCATTAGAGCCTGTATCGATGGCCGTTTCAGACATATTTGTTAAAATTGTTTAATCCAATGACAAGAATGACCGAAAATTGAATGGAAGAAAATGCAAATTCAAAGATAGAATAAAACTGTAAGATGAAAATAAAAGAAACAAAAAAAAACAAGGGTTGAAGTATTTGTGAAATGATGAAACTGTCAACTTAGGTTTGACAATCATGAAAAAGAATCAATTAAATACCGATAAAAAACGTTGAATTTAATGGATTCAAATCCGATAGATTTAGGTATTGTAAATCGATGAACCAGATCCAAAATGGATTATTTATTTTCTCAACGATAACTTAAGATTTATGATATCGGCTTGAGGATACTGGTTTTTCTGAGGGACAAGTATTGATAATGATACGAAATGAACGAATGAAAAAAAACAGCGCGACATACACACAAAGTGCTGTAAGTGAGCCGACAATGGATTCCGAATCCAAATAAATGTGAATGGCGAGTATGGCAGCCAACAAAAGGTTTTAGTCTCAATATCAAACGAATCGATCATCGAATATTCATCAAATCATACAAATGATATTCTCTTTACAAAATAGATATCCAAAATGGTGATTGTGACAACAGCCATTATGTACCTGAATGGATCGACCATGCGCAAATCCCAAGACCAGATAAAAGAGGCGGTTCAGTTGTTGGCCATTTCTCTCGTTATTTCATTTTTTTTGATACTTTCGATATCACTCAGATTTTTTACGAGCGAAAGCTTAACCATTTTGTATGCCAAATACCATTTATAACTCCGTCTATTATCATTTTTTTCAACTAAATTACGGTACATTTTGTTAAGAATTTAATATTTGAATATTCAATTCGAATACCACGTGTTGAAATTTTAGGAATTTATTCATTCATAGCAAGATAATATGAACCACACCATTCCAACCGATAATGTCAAGTATTCAGAATCGAATTTTTGGGAAAAAAGATATTCTGATGAGAACCAAGCAACGAATGAATGGCTTGGAGATTATTCATTATTCTGTGATTATTTCAGAGAAAATGTCAACAAATCTTTATCGATTCTGATTTTAGGTATTCAATCTAAACTTTAAATTTATGGTTTTATTATCATTCTTTTTTTTCATATTATGATTAATGATTTAGGATGTGGTAATAGTTTGCTATCAGAACAATTATTCGAAGATGGATATAAAAATATTCATAATATTGATATTTCATCGACTGTGATTAAAACGATGAGTGAACATTGTGAGAAATGTAAACGAATGAAATGGTCAACAATGGATTGTCGACGTCTTGAATTCCCAGATGAAACATTCGATGTCATTGTTGAAAAAGCTACGTTAGATGTATTTTTAGTGAGTGAAAAATCACCATGGAATTTATCGGATGAAGCGTTGCAAACGCTTCGACCGATTGGACAAGAAATTCATCGAGTTTTACGAAAAAATTCAGGTCAATTTTTTTCCATTACATTTTCGGCACCACATTTTCGACATCCATTGTTGGAAAAAATGTTCGATAGCAATTTAAGAATTAAAAATATCAAAAATTTAGGTAATGATTTTCATTTCTTTCTTTATCATTTGACAAATGATCCATCCTTTTCTGAATCTATTCCTTGTTTCCAATATGAACCACCAATCAAAATCAAATTGAAAAACTATGAACAAAGTCATGATGATGATGATTTTTTAAGTGCAATTAAACTGTAAAAAAATTGTAAATATCGATAGTTTCGTACATTACTTTACTGTCACATGATATTGACACTTTTATTTCATATTTTATAATTTAATTTTTTTAACTTGAAATAAATTGAAAATTTATATTTAAAAAAATGTCTACTTGGACACAGATTCAACAACAGCTTCGTCATCCATCAAATCCTGTTGTATTTTTTGACATTATGATCGGTAACACTGAAGTTGGCCGTATGAAAATGGAACTTTTTGCCGATGTTGTGCCTAAAACTGCGGAAAATTTTCGGTAATTATCCGTTAGAATAATGATTTGCTAATCATTTCCATTTGTTATTAGACAATTTTGTACTGGCGAATATAAAAAAGATGGTGTACCGATCGGCTATAAAGGATCATCATTTCATCGTATAATCAAAGATTTCATGTGTCAAGGTGGAGATTTTGTAAATGTAAGTAATGAAAGTAAATGACAAAACTTTAAACAAATGATTATTTCTTTAATATAAAAGCATGATGGTACAGGTTTAATGTCAATATTTGGTGGCACAAAATTTTCCGATGAAAATTTCAAACTTAAACATGATCAACCAGGTCTACTTTCAATGGCGAACAGTGGTAAAGATACAAATGGATGTCAATTTTTTATTACTTGCGCAAATTGTGATTTTCTTGATGGAAAACATGTAGTATTCGGTAATGAAATCATTGATTCATTTCAACAAATGTTTTAACTATTTTATTCCAATGGATATAAACTTCTAGGACGTGTCATTGATGGTATGTTAGTGGTGAGGAAAATTGAAAACGTACCGACAGGACCAAATAATAAACCAAAAATACCAGTAATCATATCTCAATGTGGCGAAATGTAATCATCCTTATCATTTTTGTTATGAAAAAGATAAAGAAGATAATCATATAATACGATTGTCAATGGATGAATAAAGACCGATTTTTATTAAAAAACAATCACAGGCCAACAATGGCCGCCAATTATTTCATTACAAAAAATATTTTGATTTAACAATAAAAGATGGCAGCATTGTTCGCTTAAATTTTCAAAAAACATTCGATAATAGCGTCGAATTTAGAATTTTTGTTTTTTCTCTTTCAAATCAATCAAAACTCTTCAAAATTCAAAATTTTTGTTTTTTCGCTTGCCAATCAATAAATACTCTTCAAAATTGATTCTTGCATGCTCCCATTTTTGGAGAGTATTCTCCAATTTTGCAGAGCCTACTTTTTTTGCTTGTGAAAAAAAATTTATTTACAAAATTCAAAATTAAATTATATAAAAAATTGGCATTTGTATTTAGAAAATGAGAATAGATTTTTAGCAAAAAAAAACATGACATGCATGATACACATGAATATATTTATAAATTGACACAAATAATGAAAAAAAAATTTTACAATGAAATTATTTCATTTTTGGCTTTTCAATGATGCTTATGGATGTAAATCCATCGGTGGTTGTGATTGTAATGGCAATTTGATGATGGGCGTTTTAATTCCACTCATTAGCAATGCATTTTTAGCCAATATGGCATTTTGTCGTGCATCCTGTTTTGGTTGTTTGACTACATAATCCGAAGGTGGTAGCAATTTCGAGGTGAAATTCGTCTGATGTTTTGGTGTTCGAAGTGGTGATACCGTTATAAATGTTGAGACACGACTAGATGATGATGACGATGATGGTGATGAAGATGGTGATGGAGATGTCGTTGTCGATGTTTTTGTTGATTTGAATTTATTTTGACTAAAATTCTGTTTGGTCACCGAAGATGATGATGATGATGATGGAATATTGGATGAAGATTTCAATATCGAACTATTTGTCGATTCTTTATTGAATTTTGATGATGATTGTCGTTCCCATAATGAACCGAGCTCATAGACACGATTACCATTATTACTGGCCAATAATGATGATTTGGATTTTTGATTTGAATTTAAATTACTTTTTGATGTTCGTTTTTGAGCCTGCTTTTTTGATTTCAATTCTTTTATCGTTATTTTCAATGTTTCATTTGATGCATTTGAATGAGCAGTTGCTCTAGGTATGGCTGATTTATTCTTAAGATTTAAATCTCTTTTCATTATAAATGTTCCATTTGAATGATCGATTATTTTAACGTTCTCATCATTTTCATTTGTTAAATTTTCTTTCAGTACATTTGTTTGAATAAAATTAGAATCAGGAGATTCAAATTCTGCATTATTATCATCTCCACAATTGGCAATTGTAGAAATGATTGAAAGTAAATTATCTTCACTACTACTTATTCTACGATCCAATTTAAATGGAAAAATTTCACTAAAATTTGTCGTAAACATTGAATATTCATTGATCGAACCATTATCATGATGATTATTATGATCATCATTCTCTTCTTCAATAAGTCCCATTTGATTTTCATTATTATTATTCAATTGATTGTACAGTATGCGTTGTCTTAGTTCATGAGCCGTTGAAAATGATTGTCTACGATTCAATTTCGTACGTTGACGATGACCAGATTTGGCATTGTCGGAATCAGAATTCAAAATCAATCGATTATAATACATCGCAGCCATTGATAACGTTGATGGCTCTAACGATGGCTTTTCAATAAGAAAATTTTCCAGATCAGATTTCAAATTTCGCAGATCGGCCATTTGATTGTTAGTGACGTTTGATTTGATAACCGATTCGACATTGCTTTTATGATTTTGGCTTTTTGATGATGATATTGTCTGTTGTTTTGTTGTCATATCGGTCAACTGTTGTGATACAATAAATTCAAAATCTTGATTGGCACAAGTGGTGAATGATGAAAATGTTGATGAAGATGTTCCACTTAAAATAGAGATTTGATCTTCATCCAAATCATCGGCTGTCGGCAATGTTTGATCATCACCATCGCTCATATCTTCATCATCATCATCATCATTATTATTATCATTGTCGTTGTTATGATTTGAATTCAAATTTGATTGCTGCTGTTGTTGTTGTTCCAGATTAAATGGATCATTATTCTGTTCAATCAAAGTATCTTGGCTAGCTGAACGTTGTCTCTTGTTATTATTATCGTGATTTAATTCAAAATCATTCAAATCATCATTATTTGGATGAATATTTGACCGAGCTAGATGGCCAACTTCTTCATAGATATCTTCACTTGATTCACCGACAGTACTGCTACTACTATTACTGCTGTTACTGCTAATGTTACCATTGTCAACATCGTTATCATTATCAAATTCATTGTTATCATTATCTCGGAAACATTTTAAATTTAAATTTTCATTCACATTGTGCAAAATATTCGATTTCTGTCGTTGTCGTTGATGTACCAACTCATCATCATTGTTACTTGCATGTGCATATACTGAGATAAGCTGACAATTGTCGGGTAATGTAGATCGAGCGCTAAACGATCCAGAAGCTTTGATTTCATCATCACCATTCATATCATCATCATGTTTTACTTGTTCTTCTTCATTGGGTAATGAAGCATAAATGGGCTCACCACTACCATCTCTTGCATCTGCAATGGAATTGTTTTTGTTGAAATCTAATGTAATTTAAAAAAGCAAAAAAAAAGAGGAAAAAATTTGAATTGAATTTTTTGGTTGAAATAAAATAAAATAATAGCAAATTGCATACCATCACTATTCCTAATGTGATGTTTTTTATCATTTGACTGTGGCTGTTGTTGTTGTTGTTCGTATTCACAACTTATTAATGGTGCCGATTCATCAATCAATGATGATAGATTTTGTTTCAACAATAAATGATTGTGATAATGATCAGCATCACCGTTTAATATTGATAATTGTTGACAAGAATTTGATCGTGTATTCGTTTCTTGCAATGATGAAACACTTGGAAGATATACATGTGGTCGAGGAAATTGTCCACATTGTTGTGGTTGTTGTTGTTGTTTATTAGATGATTTTAGACGATTATGATGAATATCAATATGATCGAATCGATTTTGATTCTTATGATCATTAGCCATACGTCGTCCAAACAGAGGACTATTTCGATGTTTTTGTTGTTGTTGTTCATTATCGGATAACAATATGATTTCACTGCCAAATGCAGATGATGCTAATTTTTTATTATAAAAATTATTATACAAAATATTTGATAATTGATTCTGTGCAATTTGTGATCGTTTCAAATTATGACGATTATAAAATGTTGATGCATCGGAATCACTTTTTCTAACGGAACGTGAACGTCCTGTTATTCCATTGATTATATTATCAAATAATTTTGTTGCCGAACGACCTGATTTTATTGCAGCTGCGTTTGAATCTTTTTCATGATAAAAATCATTATTATTATAACCGATATCGGTACTCATTTCATCATTGCTTATGGGCATATTATTAATAGTAACGTTGGTTGATGAATCAAATTTATTTAGATTGATTGAAATTGGACTACATTTTCCATGATTAAATAGTTTATTACTACCACCGGGAACGAATTCTTTCTTATTTGATGAAATCATTTGCTGATTATGATGATGATGTTGATAATTATTTGGAATCACAGAAGTTGTTGTTGGTGTTGATGAGCCAAAACGATTAAATGATTCAGATGATGATACATTCAATGGTACACTTAATGTTGATTCAGATTTTGGCATTAAAATTGATGAACCGAACATAAATTGGCCATAATATCGGCCACATTTTGATTGTTGTTGTTGTTGATTGGCTGATTGATTAGAAAATAAATAATGACATGAAGCGACCGATGGTGGACGTTGTTGTTGTCGACGATGATTAAATGATGGTTTGGGCGTCAGCAACAATGAATCATAGTTATTTGTTTGCGATTGTTGTTGTTGTTGAGATGTTAATGCTAACGAATAACGAGACCGTGATGCGTGATGATGATTTTGCGATTGTTGTTGTTGGTAATGGGAATTTCGTTGTTGTTGTTGTTGTGAATTGTTTGGATGATTATGATGATGTAAATAATAGTTGTGATATGCATTTCGTGAACTTAAAGAAAGGTCGAGCATTGATGTTGCCTGATGTAGTTTACGATTCATATCTCCATTATTGTTGTTGTAGTTGTTATTATTATGTTGTAAATGTTTTTGAAACGATATTTTACCACCACTACAATCATTTAGTTTATTTGAAGATTGATCTAATGGGAAAAAAAGGGAAAAAAATAAATCATCTTGTTATCGATCAATCAATCAAACCAATTTCATACCGATTTTGGAACATTTTTTCAAAAGATCTAAATCTGAATGATATGATGTTAAAAATGTATTAATGGGTGTTTGATGTTTATTATCAGTTGATGTCGATGATGATGATGTCGATGTTGATGAATTGGATGATGTTTTTGATGCTGATGATGATGTTAACAACGGATATGATGGTGGTGGAAGCATCTGTGATTGCATTACATTACGTTCAACAGTATTATTGTCATTTGTTGTTGTGGTTGTCGATGTAACCGTAAATGTCAATGAAGATTTATTACTTGAACAAATTGATGATATTTTATCATGAATTGAATGATGATGATGATGATGACGATGTGAACGATGTGAATGATGGCTACCACAATGGCAACATGATCGTGTAAAAGCATCACGAAATGTTTCATTCGAAATAAATATAATCAATGGTAATAATAATGCTTCAAACAATGAAAGTGCAACCAATATTAGATCATGAAATGGTGTCCATATTCCCGGTATAAAAATAGCCAATAAATTAAATACCTAATTATTGATGATCAAAAAAAGAATAAAATAATCAAATTAGTTTCATTGAAAAATTTTATTTAAAAATTGTCATAAAAAAAACAATGAAACAGTACAAGAAATTAACGGTCCAGGAAAACAACAACAACAATCAAATTTCCAATTACAAATTGCACGCATCAAAACAGAACCGAAAAATGATGCATACAAAATGATGATGATTTGAAAAAAAAACCGACACACACATCAAATTACAAATAGAGCGATAAACCTTTCTTTTGTTTCATTCATTTATCAACATTCATCATACATTTAAACCCGGAATTGAAAAAAAAGTTTTTCATTTCAACAATGTGAATCATGCGAAACAAACTTGATGACAAATATAATATATCAAATAGAAACAAAACGAGAAAAAAAATTCAAAGAAAAAGAAATGTCAACAACTGCAATAATAATGGATGATGATGATGATGATGATGATGGTAAATGGACAAAATTTGAAATTGTTCGGGTATAAAAATTGTAACATCCGGTTTAATGAAAATGAAATGAAAACAATAAAATGATGCTATCATCAACAAAAATAATCTTAATGAAAAATGATGGGAACTATTTCTTTCATTTTCGTTTCTCGAAATCCTTGCAAGACATTTTTTTCCACTGATTTGTTTTGCATCATTTTAATATCAATTCAATTCGATTCGATTGATAATGTTAATGATGAATATTGAAACGAAACAATCAAAATTTTGGATAATGTAGTCCAGGCAGGATTTTTTTCCAATACCACCATTACCACCATCATCTTCAAAACAATAAAAATGTTATGGACAAATTTTCTCCTTTATAAAAAAACAAGTTTCATTGACCATTGTATAATTCTAATGGACATTGTCAATTGTAAATAATGTGTATAAGAGTTTTTGTGACAATTTTTTTTCTTCTTTCCTCTTCAACTGTCATAACCAATAACTTGGCGTTATTCAAATGTGTCAATGTTTCCAACAGAAAATGTGATTTGATTTTTGACACGACAACTTTTTTTGAAATGATTATAACATTACTATCATTATCAATTTGAGATGATAACAACGATAGGAAATGTTTGGATCAATAATCATTATTGTTCAGCTAATGATGATAATAATAATGATGATTTTTAAATTTACTGTTAGGATGTAGGATGTTATCATGGCCATCAGCATCATTTCATTGTGGCTTTAAGGCAACGAAAAAAAAAGTAGAGAATCGATCTAAAACATAAACACACACACACACGTATGACATCGATAATTGACCAAACGATAACAACAACAACAACAAAAGATTGACAATGAAATATGTTTTTTTTTCATTTTTTCCAGTTTCCTTGTTTTGTATTATATTTGTCATTGTGTTTGCGAACAAGTTCATTCAGTTTTAATGAATGAAATCGATCGATTTTTCATTCAATTTAGCCAATGTCCCAAGCCATTTTTTCAAAAAAAAAAAAACAATTAGAGACACACATTGTGGTAAACTAAAAAAGACTGAAGAATGATCATTGTTCTGGAACAAACATCAACAGAAAAAAAAACCGAAAGAAAGAAAGCCCAAGAATTGTTCCAAAAATTCAATGATGCATCAATTTTCTATTCATGTTGAGTTATGAACAAAAAAAAAATTTATGATTTGAATTGAAAAATTTAAATATTAAATGAACAACAGTTTTTAAATGAATTGAATTGAATAGAAATAAAAACCATTTGGTAAATTATCTTGATTTAAATGAATTTGGTTTTTAGAAATGAAAACAATGAAAACAGTCAAAAGTCATTGATTCAAGATACTGAACACATCCAACCAGATATAAATTTATGATGCATGTATGAATTTTTTTTTTTGTAAAGGGAAAATGAATTTGATTCAGAAATTCTCTCCCTCTGTTTTCTTAAAAAAATCTTTATATAATCTGATCATTCATTTTTTTCGATTTTAATGTGTCTTTTTTGTTTTTGTTTTTCTTTCTTTATTTTCAACTGGATTCAAGATTCAATCAATCAATCAAATTGTCTCGAAAAAAAACAACTAGAACAACAGCAACAAAATACATCAACATCATTTTGTTTGTTCGATAAAAGGAAAACAATATTTGCGGATGTGATCATTTTGATCAGATCATCATCATAATCAGTTATCATAATAATAATAAGATTGTTGTTGTTGGTCTGTTTGTCTGTCTGTTGTCCACCCGTGTTTACTATTTAGTTAAGATTGGTTTATTTATCATTCATCATTTCAGTTGAACAACAACAACTCTTCAATTATCAAACAGAATGTAGAAAAAATTGTTCGTTTGTCAGTGTGTTTATTATTTTGAAACAAAACACAAAAAAAACTGATGATGATAATTCAACGTGTAATCATCATCATGATAACAAAACAAAAAAACATGATGACATGACACGATGACATAAAGATGATGTCCAGTGTGTGAATTTTTTCTTCTTCACGTTCTAAGCTTTTGAAACAAAACAATCCAGTATATGAGGATACCGGTGTGTGTATAGTTTTTTTTCTTTTCCCAATCTAATATTAATAAATGTAATGGAAAAAAAATGAAATGAAATGAACATAAATTCCGGAAGCCAAACAACATAGTTAATATAACACATGTCAAGGGAATACATTGAACATATCTTGTAAAATATATTTTCATATCTGATTCAAGATATTATTTATTTTTGTTTTCACAGATGTTTTCAACGTTTTCCGGTATTTCCGGATGATCGGTAAAGCAGCAAGATTGTAATACTATCACGAGACAATTTACCAGATGAATTTTAATAAACAAAATGAAAATAAATTCAATTCAAATCCTAAAATATTAAGAAAAACAATCTTTCTAATGTGTTTTGTTCATTTTTTTGGAAAAAATTTCATTTCCTTCATAAAAATTAAATTCAAATTCCATTATATTCATTAGATTTCTGTTTGTTTTCTGTCCAAATGGAATCATTGTTTCAAAATCTCTAGTTTTTATTCAAACTATAAACGATTATCATCAAGGCGAAGCAAAAAAAAGTTTTCTATTTCTGTCAGCAAGAAAAATTATATTCCATTTTTCATTTTACTTTCTGTCGAATGACATTTTTTCGTTGTTGTTGTAAATACCAACAGTATCAGCATGAATAAAAGTTTTCTTTATTTGAAAAAATATGTATGAAAAATTGACCCAACAACAATAACGGCCAAAAAAAATGTAAATGTCATAATATGTTATGTAAGTTATTATTATTATAAATGAATGGATGTGGTTAATATATATAGATTAGGTCATAGTTTTTCCAACAAACATAATAATGTTGATAATCGAAAGAAAATAATCTTGTTGTTTTTTTCTTTGTAAAATCTTTGATTTGATAAAATTTTTTCCCATGTGAACAATGTTTAGCGACACATAACAATGATCGAAAAAAAACATCATTTTTTTCCTCTGTTAATTTCTTTGTGAATGAATTGAATTCGATAATCATCGTCATAGAAAATTATGATGTGATTACAACAACAACAANTGAATATATCTTGTAAAATATATTTTCATATCTGATTCAAGATATTATTTATTTTTGTTTTCACAGATGTTTTCATCGTTTTCCGGTATTTCCGGATGATCGGTAAAGCAGCAAGCAAAAAAAGAGATTGTAATACTATCACGAGACAATTTACCAGATGAATTTTAATAAACAAAATGAAAATAAATTCAATTCAAATCCTAAAATATTAAGAAATGTCCAAATAGAATCATTGTTTCAAAATCTTTTTCTATAGTTTTGATTCAAACTATAAACGATTATCATCAAGACGAAGCGAAAAAAAAAGTTTTCTATTTCTGTCAGCAAGAAAAATTTTATTCCATTTTTCATTTTACTTTCTGTCGAATGACATTTTTTTTTGTTGTTGTTACTGTTAATACCAACAGTATCAGCATGAATAGAAGTTTTCTTTATTTTGAAAAACAAATGTATGAAAAATTGACCCAACAACAATAAAGGCCAAAAAAAAATGTAAATGTCATAATATGTTATGTAAGTTATTATTATAAATGAATGGATGTGGTAGATTAGGTCATAGTTTTATAAACATAATGTTGATAATCGAAAGAAAATAATCTTGTTTTTTTTCTTTGTAAAATCTTTGATTTGATAAAATTTTTCCCATGTGAACAATGTTTAGCGACACATAACAATGATCGAAAAAAAAACATCATTTTTTTCTCTGTTAATTTCTTTGTGAATGAATTGAATTCGATAATCATCGTCATAGAAAATTATGATGTGATTACAACAACAACAACAAAAAGTTTTGTTGTTGTCTTAAAAAGATTTGATTTGAGTTTTTTTTTCAAAAAAAAAAACATTTCAAAATAAATGTAAAAACAATACAAAAGATAAAATGAATAAGCTTTTTTTGTCCATTATTTAATTTTAACATTTTTTTGAATCTTATCGTTCAACAACAGAATAAAGAAGGGAAAAAAACATAGACAATGGATTGATCAAAAGAACGAATCGGATAACAAATAAAAATAAAATTTTGATAATTTTTTTGTAAAAAAACTTATCTTTGTATTTTGTTGATAACTTTCACCATTTTTAAAATATTTTTTCTTTCTTTCTATTTGACCATTTACTAATTTAGATAGATAGATAGATAGAGAAAGGTGGACAAATGATGACCAGACTTTAAAATCTGGTCAGTCAATGAATAAGACGACAACGATAATGATCATCATCATCATCATCAAATAAGGACATTAGAAAATTTTCATTTCATTTTTAAAAAAGAAAAGAAAAAATATCCAAGTTTGGATCATGGCCATGATGGGTTTGTGTGTATAATTCAAAAAAAAAGCTAAATACAGAAAAATTTCCATTTTTTCTTTGATCATCATTGTCGGTTTGAAACGATCATTTTCTTCGCATCACTCTTGTCCAATGAAGAAAATGACCATCTCATTTATTGCCCGAAGATGA